TTTCTACTAGATAGTGTCATTGTCAAGTAGATTTTTAGTTGTGTTTTTTTTTTACAGCGCAATAACATGGTACAAAGGTACCATAACTTGGACAGGAAATGAGCAAGCAGGTCAAGTGCTCACAAAAAACACGATTAAACATAAGAGGTCAGTTAGAGGTACTTCTAACAATGTTAGAAGTACATGGTAAAACAAATTTTCTGATTTTCCAATTACAAGGTTATGACCCCTCTCCACGGGGCCTGCTCCTCACGAATGACAACTGTGAGCTCCAGCAAGGGAAAAAAAAGTGCCATAAATGCCACAGGTCAAACCAGGAGGCTGTAAAAAAGAAAAACCAAAGAGGCTTGAGGGAAAATGGAAAACGGTGGCAGAGTAGAAAGGTTGGAAGAAGGAGTTTAGTTTACGAAGGGGTTAAACTTGGATGGGGTCTAGGGGTATATGGGATGCCCAAGGAACTGTAGAATTTTGAGGACAACTTCTTAGCAACTATGTACAAAAATTTGGATTAGCAACAGTCTTTTCTTGAAGAGCACTAAATTCTGTTAGGTGTACCTCTTCAGACCCTAGATGATTACTCCTCTTCACACAGCTGCCTGAGGGTATCCCTGATCAAGAGGGCCCAAGAGCTGTTAGTTTAGATCGGTCCCAAAGTCCAAGAGGAGCTAGTTGGATCTTGCACCTGACTGCCCTCTCCCCTTATCTGGCCCAGGGGTGTAAGGGTACTCACACTGTCCTCTCCTGTTAGCTTGGTGGGTTGGTGGCTGCCTTCAGGCCTTACACTGGGCTAGCTCCTTCCCTGATACACAGGCTGATACACAGACGTTGAGGCAGTAGAGATCCCCTTTTGCAGCTACCTGATTGCAGGTGGGCTTCCCTCACTGAGGCCCCGGCCCAGGCTCCACACTGCAGCCTTCCTCGATCCATCTTTCACCCGACACTGCACACATTCCCCCAGTCTTTGCCACATTTGAGAGTTGCCCTGGTTACCATGCCCAGCCTCTTGACTGTTCCTGATTGGTCAAGGTTCTTCAAACATACAGATCCAGGCCTCCTCCACCCCTCGTCCACAAAGCTCTTAGGTTTCTGGAAGTGTGGGAGGGCTCCAGAAACCCTGACCTGTTAGAGCCTCCCAGCCTGTCCTGAGGTTACCTCACTCCCAGGCTAGGTCATCCCCAGGCTGCTACTCAGCCTCTATCTAACAAAAAAACTATCTAACCTGGAGGGTGTTACACTAGTTAAGGTCGAGATGTATTTGTGCAGTAGAGCTTCCTACAGGTTACAAGCCAAGGTTACATTCAATACTGCCCTAATCATGGTGTACACCTGTGTCCAAAGGCCTTGGTTAAACTCCCCCAGATGTGGCGTAGGGTGATAGGAGCCAACCGAGACATACAATTTGGGGTCATGAACCATCGACTAAGCAGTTTGTAGGCATTTTCCTGAGCCAAGACATTCTGGGAGCATTTAGAGAAGGTCAGCCACATATTGTTCCAGGCTGTATGGTCAAAGGTCTTGCCTAGGTCTGCTTCCCGCTTTATCACATAGGAAAGTTTACCAGAATTTATGTAGATCACGAGTAAAGGTCAGAAACTAGGCCGTTTGAGTGAGGGTCACTCCAGCTACGGTTTTCAAATGAGGTCAACTGCTTGGGAGGCCCTACACAATGTTGCAGTGTGAGTTTGATCAGCCATTTTTCACAAGTTGGTGTCGCAGATGGGGCTTAAGATCATAGGAAATAATCATGTTACACAAACTTTGTAAATTTTTTCATTGTAGCTGTTTTAATGTTTATCACATTCATACAGATAATGTTTGTCACATTCGTATAGCAAATATTCTATATATAGATCCCTGTGTTTTTTAGGTGTTTGATAACACAGCTGTGTATTGCATACAGTGTCATTTTTCCGTCTATAAATGCCGAGGTTTTATATTTGACAGAGCTGCTGAATTTTAATCCTGCACGTCAAAAAAAAAAAAAAAAAAAGGGCTTCTTATTTAGTATTACATTAGTTAATTGTTAATTTTATTATCCTGATTTGAGTTCTGCCCTTTAAGATGTTATTTTTCATATGACTGAATAAAGCTATTTTATTTTTAAAAAGTTAAAAAAATCAGATGCATACTACATGTACCTATGTGGTACTCAAAAAGACCTGAACAGGCACACAGGCTGGCTAACATGGAGGTGCTTATGTTTTTTTCTTGTGTCATTAACACGGAAGAGATCCTCTAGACTGGTGCAATAGTCAGATCTTTGGGGGGTGCTCTGCGGGGGCGGAGGCTTGCTTTGTATTAGAGGTGGGTTTTAGAAGAACTGTCTTGTATCTGTATACAGTAAAGCCCTTTCTGGACTCGGGTCGATGCCTTTGACACACCGTGCAGATAAGGGTATACTGTACTTTCCTCTCTTCTCTTCTAGAAGTATACAGTATATGTATACAGTGGCTTCTCCTCTGCTGTCTTACTGATTTGCTTTAGTGACTCCTCTCCTATGCTAACAATAGATGATACTATTGTGATTCTGTGACCATTTCACCCAGAATTTGGGTGAGATCTGGATTCATGTTCCTTCCTCTGTCTAACCTGTCTTTTTACCTTTCTGCTGACAGAATTTCATGCTCACTAGAAGATCCATTACATGTTTTGTCTCTAGTCCTGCAGGACTGTAGAAAGGGGAAAGATTACTAATAATTATACCTGTATTGTTATTTCTCCTGTTAATCCTTTGTAATTCCTCTTATAAAATCATTGATGTATCCTCCTTGCATATAGTATGTGGGCTATTTATAAAGCATTGACTAGGCATTTTTGCTGCTTTTTCAGCATACTTTTGTTCTACTTTCCCAATTTAGTTGATTTTTCCAATACAATAGAATGAGATAGGTGAACATGCCTGAAATCTTTAAACATCTTTTGTTTGCTACCTCTTTATAAATAGCCCCCTGTATATTCCTTATTGAATTCCTGTGTCAATAACAACATCTTAAAGTAAAAGGTCGCTTTTCTCTAAAATATGCTGGTATGAGGTAGGACAGTAATATGATCAACCTATTGCTTGCCTTTTTCCATTCTGCTTGTAGGCCTTCTTGACGTATCCATTTTACCAAGTGCAAAGTACTGTAATTTTATTAGTGGCCATGTTGCCCATATCAACAGGTGAATGCTCACCTTCATAAAACATGGGGCTAAGTTAAGGAAACTTGGGCAGAAGTGGATTTGTTGCCCATAGCAACCAGAATGCTGGTTTTATTTGATAAAAATAAAAAAGTATCAAAATCAAATACCATCTCCATTCAACTCTTGTTTTCATTAGCTCCTATATGGCATTCGAAAGTAAGAGTTTTTGCTTGTCGCCAACTACAAGATTGAAATACTTTTCCTTCAAAGTGTGAGTGTCCCCAAGCTATGGACGCTCAAATATTTGCATATTCTTAACAAGCTTTAAATAAACCCTTGCTGGCCTCTTAAACTAACTGGAGGAAATTTCAAAACCAATCTCAGAAAGTAATATTTTACAGAGTAATAATCTTCCAGCAGAGGTAGTGAGCCAATCAACAGTACATAGCTTCAAACAGGCTTGGGACAAGCAGAGATCTATACTCAGGTAAAACAAGTTAATAAAAAAAGCTAAGTAAAAATTAAAAAAAAAAAACAAAAAAAGGGCAGACTTGATGGACCACTTGGTCTTTTTGTGCCGTCACTTTTCTATGTAGCGACTGTGGAGCAATTCATTCTTAAAGCGATGTCATTCCAAGCCCAGTATTTGTACTCTACTCTCTCTCATACTGTGCATATGCTCTATGTTTACATTAGAAAGCTGACAAGCTGCCAAATCACTGCTAGGTGTGGGGAACTAAGCTAGAGTGGGGGAAAAAAAAGTAAATCTGAGAAACTTATGTGAATGAATAAATCCACAGTGTCTGCAGCTACAGAGGTCAGTGAACACTGTTTTTATATATTGTTTTGTTAAGAATATGTAAATATTTGACTGTCCGTAACCTGGCCAAACCTGCCACAAGCGCTCAACTCTTTCTCCACATTCCACTTATGGAACACTCAGGTGCATACTACTGTACCCTGCATGCCACATCTTGGTCTCAAATAATAAAATCCCTATAAGTTTGATCTCCTGTTGTCATGAACTGGATGTCTGGAACAGCCACACTTGCTGTTGGATTGCATATCAAGTTAAAAAATATTTACACTACCTACTAGTGCTGGGATAAGATATGAGAAGCATGGGTTTCTGCAGTGGTTGTAGGCTTTCTCTAAGTTAAGTAAATAAATCATATAAAACATTTTATATTTATATATATATATATATATATATATATATATATATATATATATATATATATGGACAGGACTAAATGAACTACAAATTTTACACAATTTATTTTCAGTCTTGTAACTATAAAAAAAAAATGTATATTATTACTTATGCCCAGCCAGGAGATGGAGTACTTGTCTTCTTTACACATATTCAGCTATTTCAACCTTTAGCTCTGCTGATAGAAGTTTGTTGTAAACAGGACTCAATGATTCATTAGGGCAGTGGCCCTTCCCCTATCAGATGACTTTGTAGGACAGGCAAAGCAAACAGCATTGTGCATGTGTATATGCTGTAAGTATGTGTCTGTAGTTGTGTGCATTTTTTTTTAATACATAAAAAGCCATATAAACCATAAAAAGGTAAAATCTCCAAAAAGGAGATTCAAAACCCTCACACATTCCCTTTAAGCACAATGGATACTTCAAAAGACAGGGCAAACATAACTCAACCAGATGATCAATTAACCCTTAATATTTGTGTTGATCTGCTGTCTTGCCTCATCATACCAGAATTGCGGAGAAAGGTGGAGTCATATTTAAGGACAATAGAGAGCTCATCTTGTTCCTATCACTGCTTACTAATCTGGAACACTTGTCTTATCCCTAGCCTTTGTCTCATATCTTCAAGTCACTAAATTTTATGGTCTTGTCTACCCTGCTTCGCAGCCTTCTACACTGCGGCTCCACTTACCTCTGCTGGGATACTGCCAGTTATGCAGTCCCTGTGTCCTGATGGTCAAAGAGATGAGTATGGCTTCCTGCAATACACCAACTCCACGTAAGTAGAGCCAGTTCCATTAAATTTGATCAACCATTTCATGTCAGTGATAATGAAACTCAAAGCAGAACTTCAGGCAAATATAAAAATATTCTTTTTATGAATACAAGGCATTCTGTGATTGAAAAAGGGATGGATGAATGTCACAATCTTCCCTCCTCCAATCACAGAACACCTTGTATTTAGTGAAAATAATACAAGACTGTTTGTGAACAGAGGAAGTGGAGAGCAAGCAACTTGCTATGAGAACTGTACTCCATGTGGGTGGTTAGTTGAGTATTGCTTTCAAGCAATAGTAAACCCCGGGAAAGGAAAAACCAATGGGCCCCCTGCAGGTTTAGGTCATAATGTACTAGTATGCACTGCATACTAATACATTATGACAGACTTACCTGTACATAGAGCTCTCCAGCACCACGCTGTCACAGCTCCCCAGCGCCGCCATCTTCACCCATCTTCCTTCCGGGTTCGCCGCTCCAGCAGTATGAATGGCCAGAGTGGCAATGATATCAGTATGAATGGCTGGAGCCCTCCGGCTGTGGGACAGAGCTCTGAAGGGACGGCACAGTGTTCCATCCATTCAGAGCACATGCGCCAGTGACATCACTGGCTGCATGCTTTGTGAATATCTCCTAAACGATGCAAGTTTAGGGGATAGACACTGTACCTACAGGTAGAGTAAGCCTTATTATAGGCTTCCCTGTAGGCACAACTTAAAAAGTGGACTTTACTTCCACTTTCAGCTTTGTTCAATTTAACCACTTCCAGACCGGACACTTTTACCCCCTTCCTGACCAGGGTAATTTTCAGCTTTCAGAGCTATCACACTTTGAATGACGATTGCGCGGTCATGCAACACTGTACCCAAATAAATTTTTTACCATTTTTCTGAGACAGATAAAGTTTTATTTTGGTGGTATTTATTCACCGCTGGGATTTTTATTTTTTTTGCTATGTAAATGAAAAAGTCCCAAAATTTTTTTAAAAAGTGTTTTTTTATAAAATTTTGCAAATAAATAATATTTCATCATAAATCTTTGCCAAAATTTATTCCGTTATCTTTTTAGTAAAAAAAAAAATCAAAATTAGTTTATAACCAAAAATTATAATTTTTAAACATTTTTTTTTACATTTTTATTTTTTTTTTTTATTATTTTTTTTATTTTTTTTATTTTTTTACATACTGTCACCCTAGCAGTACAGTGTCACCATGGTGACACTGTACTACTTGTGGGGGGTGATGAAGATTTTTTTTTTTTTTTTACACTGATTGCTTTTACACCCATATAGGATGTAAAAGCAATAATTTCTCTTTCTCTCTGTCTGCATTCTTGCACTCATTGAGAAGTCCTGAGTGAGCTGTGATTGGTCACAGCTTGTTACATGGTACAAGGCTGTTGTGAATAGTGTTGTACCATGTGACCTCCTGTGATCATTCACAGATTTCACACGTAGTAAGCAATGATGTCACAAGTGACATCTTGCTTACTACTTTGCATGTGATCACTGATTGGCCAATCAGTGATCACATGATCAGGACCTCGTACAGAGGTCCCATCCGACGATCGGTGTTTCACTGTGTCCGGAGGACACAGCAGGCACCGGATCGCTGTGCTGCGCACTCCCAGGGAGCGCGCACAAGCAGGGTGCGGGAGGCCGTTTATAAACGGCCACCCGACCCTGCACTGCCACCATCCGGCCGTTTATATGCAACGGCCAGTCGGGAAGTGGTTAATAAATACATAGCTGCATTAATTGGCATTGTGTCTTATCTTCCTGCAATTCAGTTTTACAGGTAGCGGAGCTTGTTTTATGTGTCGCTCAATCTTTTGAGAAGTAATATTTTGGAGGACTTCAGCATTGTCCTTGTATTGGGCTATCTAAGAGTGTCTTGCCTCTCTATTACCTGCAGGGTCACACAACTCCTGGAAAGACTCACGGAGGTGGTTGAGAACAGCAACTTGTTTGATACAGACCGGCCCGGCCTGGAAGAAGAGCTGGAATCCCTAAAACATCATCTGGAATCTCTGAGCAGTGATCACAGTTCCCTGGAGAATCACTTCCACCGCCAATCAGGTATAGCCTGTCTGATTTTCATCTGTAGTGTTCAACCATGTCTACCAGACTTACAAAGAAACCCGAAAAAAGTAGTTTTGTTTCGTATCGAATCGTTAAGTTACTAATTTCGTTTTGGTGGATTTGTAACATTTGCTTAGTAGAGTTTAGTTTTATCTATTCGTTTTTGACCTGATTGGAATTTTTCCAATGGATTTGAAGTATTCGAATCGAATTCAAATAAAAAATATCAACTTGATCTGAATTTTATGTGAAGAATACGTGGTTCTATTCTATTCCAAATTATAATTTCGGAAGACTGTTATATATATATTCATTCTATTCTATTTTATTCTTCTCTATTCCATTTTTTCTAATCTATTCTTTTCTATAACATTTTATTATATTTTATTTTCTATTCTATTTTGTTTTACTCTATTCTTTCTTATTTTATTCTGTTTTACTCTATTCTTTATGAAATTCAAATTTTGGAAGTTGGCTATATTCTTTTTATTTTATTCTTTTCAAATCTAGTTTTTTTTATCTATTCTTTTCTATTCTGTTCTATTGCTTTATATTCTATTTTTTAATTTTCTATTGTATTCTGTTCAAATTTAGAAAGATGGCTATATTCTAACACTAATATACATAGTCTTTAAAGGAAATCAATTTGTTTTCAAATTAGATTTTGTTTTAAAATTCAGTGTGAATTTCGGATTAAATTTTTGTTTAGTTATTTCAGGTGTTTTTTAATTTTGTTACTATTGTAATTCAGGAATTCAAATACATCTGAATCTCCAAATAACAAAAATTGTGTCCGAATTTCAATTCAAATTGAGACAAACTGCACATATCCAATAAGCACGAATAGCCCAACAGGGCAGAGATCCAGAGAACTCAATACAAGCCCTGTACAGTTTGTTTTTGGAATTTTATGAGTATTTCTCTTCACTTGCACTGAACATGTCTTGGCTTGCAGTGAAACATGACTTTCTAAATGAGTACGGTAATCCTTAAATGTAAAGAATATTTGTACCCAAATAATGTTTTTTCTTTTAAAGTTTTGGTGAAAAAGATAGGATAAGAACCCATGTCAGGTTTTTATTGCTGTCTGTCTCTCCAGTAGGAAGGTTTGATGGAAAATCCCAAATTTTACAGCTGTCACCAGGTATAGAAGCAACATCTTCCAAAGAGAACACCTTTTTCAGTGACAGCTTTCTAAAAGGGGATTTCCTCTTACTTTGGAGAGAATTCCACATGTGGGGAGGTGCCATGTGGTACAGGCAGTAAATGAGTCCGATTGTAGCAAAGCTTCTGTTGATGCGTTACAACATTACAAACACCCTAGCAGGAGAGCGCTTGGGGAAATAACTCACAGTTCAATGTAGTCACCAATGCAGCTGAGGAGAGGTTCCAACAGCATCTGTTTATAGCAGGGGTCTCCAAACTATGGCCCTCTAGCTGTTGAAGTACTACAAGTCCCATCATGCTTCTGCCTCTGGGAGTTTTGCCTGTGGCTGTCAGAGTCTTGCAAGGCCTCATGGGACTTGCAGTTCCTCAACACCTGGGGGCCATAGTTTGGAGACCCCTGGTTTAGAGGATGAAGTGTGCCCTGGCCAGGCTGGTCCCAAGATGGAAGGCTTCTGTCAGGTTAGTGCGACCCTAGCCTTTCTCTTTCCGTCACAAACCTTTCTCTACCGCTAGTTACGGTCCTTGACGGGCAGAGTCTCTCTCCCTACACTAGCCACTCGCACAAAGAGTTCCAAAGCCCATGATACAAATGGAGAATCAAAAAAGGGCGCACCGACCTAGTGCATTATCGTTTAAAATAATTTATTAAAGAAACAAAAATAGGTATCATACTCACAATGGACATAACACAGGCATGTCAAACTGAACAAGACGTATGATCCAAACAACATCTGAGTCCATACGATGGAACCCTGGATGACCAACTGGCTAACGCGTTTCGAGGACATAACCTCTTCCTCAGAGCCAGGTTGGCTCTGAGGAAGAGGTTATGTCCTCGAAACGCGTTAGCTAGTTGGTCATCCAGGGTTCCATCTTATGGACTCAGATGTTTGGATCATACGTCTTGTTCAGTTTGACATGCCTGTGTTATTATGTCCATTTTGAGTATGATACCTATTTTTGTTTCTTTAATAAATTATTTGAAACGATAATGCACTAGGTCGGTGCGCCCTTTTTCTGTTTCTCCATTTGTATCCAGTGTATTCGGACCACCCCGGTCTGTTGAGGGCAGCAAGCAGTGCATATTCCAGAAAATTCCAGAACATTCCTATTGGGTCTACTGAGTCCTTTCCTAGCGCAGGAGTAAAGTGTTTGTTGTGTTGGATTTTCCAAAGCCCAGGAACAGGGGCTAAACTAGACCCTGCTGACCTAAGATCAAAGGTCACATGACCTCAGTGTAGCCAACTGGAACACTGCTCCATTGACCCAGGAAATCATAGAGAAACATGTTTCCCTTAGACTTCCTTTCCAGGCTGTGGTACCACTCGGGTCGAACACCACTTACAACAGAGAAAAACAGACTGCACCTCCCTACACACTCATTTCCTGTTTTTGTCCCTGGGAACAAGAAATGAAGAGAATATCTGACAGAACTTTGAACGATTATACTTTTAATCAAAGCAGAAATCCGGGCAAAACATTTTTTGAACCATGCAGTGCGGCTGTGCTAGTTTTTGCCTAGGTGTGATAACAGTGAAGATATACCTACCGGTCCTTGCCACTTCTGCCCCCCTCCCCTGCATGCCAGTGGTGTTGTGGATGTACTGTTCCTGATATCATCACGCCCATAGACCGGCTCTGGGCGTGAGGACGGAAAGGAACAGTCCAACGCTGGACATGGGGGAGCACTGTTTTCCGGAGGTTTGGAGGACAGGGTAAGTATAGCTCTTCCCTAAACCCCTGGACAAAGCGAGCAGTTTTCTCGTGCAGTGCGGACACAGCTCCACTGCATGGGAAATAAAAAAAAATTTCATGGAGTTCTGCTTTAAAGTTTTGGCAATAGATGCACTTTAAATTTGAATTCCGGTATGTTTTTTTGCATAGTTACATTGTTCCAGCTTGGACCAATATAAGTATACGTACATATTCCATACCTTGAGACTGCTGTGGAAGCGGAGAATCACTTTAGTAATTGTGGTTACTACATTGACCACCATGGTCTTCCGTGTTCTGTGCTGATCAGCTGCCCTTCTCCATAGTGAAAAAAAAAGGGAGGATTTCACATTCAGCATAGCTGCTGTTCACAGAATTCCTTGTATTTATTTCAACTAATACAAGGTGTTCTGTGATTATACAAGATGGGCACTCAGGGAGGTGAGGTCACAATCTCCTCCAATCTCATCCAATCGGAAAATGTCTTGTATTCATTAAAAAGCATAGAAGACCTGTGTAACTATGCAATAAAAAATGAAGTTCAGCTTAAAGCGAATATGTAGTCACTGCCACCCTAGACATTGAGCAGTTTCTGAAACATGATAAGGGTTTGGGAAATCTGAGCTTTCCTATTTGCAAATGCCAAATTCAAATAGAAAGTTGATGCTTGGCCCCACTGCTTCCTATTCATATTCTGTCTGCTATACAATAACAGGCATATATGCCAGCATTTTAAGGCTCCATGTACACGGGGCGTTTTAATAACGCTGGTAACGTTAGCTGTGTAAAGTTACGTTAAAAACTTGAGTTTTTAGTGTTTTTTTTATTAGAATTTTGCCGCGTTTTTTTCGTGTTTCCCTTTTTGTAGAGTTTTTTTTAACCAAAAAATAAACCAACTAATTCTGGGGGTTTTTTTCCAGCCAAAAAATGCCCCTGCCAAAAAACATTAAATACAGTCTGTGTGTATGGACACATAAGATAACATGCTGGGGAGTTTACTGGCTGTAGAAAAAAACGTCAAAAGCCAAAAACAGCCGCTGTAAAAACGTCCAGTGTACAGGAGAACTAAAGCCCAATTGAACTTTCATTTTCATTCAGCTAAATGCACTGCAGGCGCATTAAAACAAAAAAGTACAAAGTCTTACAGTCCATTTTTCTTTGGAAACCATCCACAGCCTAAAGGGGGAATCCTGGCCCCTGCCAGCATGGTCTACAGAAAGACCCTTGCTCTGTGTGGAATCAGTAGTCTCTCTGCAGAAGTCCAACACTTTCTGCTGAATCAGCAGGGAGTATGAGCTTTGCTGATTGCAGATCTATAGCTCGGAATCAGCAGAGCATGTGTCAGACCTTTGCAAAGAGACCACTGCTTCCACAGAGGGCAAGGGTCTTCTCTGAAACATGATGGCAAGCAACAATCTTTTCTATTAAAGTGGAGTTCCACTCACCCTGTCAAAAACTGTAGCTGCTGACTTTTAAAAAACAGTCACTTACCTGTCCCTCGGTCCCCTGTGTCCCCCCCAGCCCGTTTCACCAACCATCCTGTATTCCAGGAGGCCGGCATCTTCAGTGTGGGCACCCGGCTGTGATAGCTTGCAGCTTCACAGCCGGTACCCACTGCGCATGCGCGAGTAGTGCTACACTTCATGAATGATCCTGTGGTCTTCTGGGACCTGTCATGTGTCACAAAAGACTACAGGTAGGGAGGGAGGACACCTTCCAGAAGTGGGAGCAGGTACCTGTCAAATTCGGGTACCCGCTCCCTCTGCCCCCCAAAGGTGCCAATTCTTAATGGGGAGCGGGGGAGCAGACCTTAAAGCGGAACTTCCCCTTTTGGGTGGAGCTCCGCTTTAAGGCTGTGGCTTCTTTCTAAAGAAAACAAAAGGTAAGAATCGGCATGCTTTGTTTTTATGCGGCGGCAATGTATTCAGCTGATTAAGGGCTTGTTCACACCATAGTGCAGCAACATCAGTTTTTCTGCACACGTTCTGCACGAGCACAACTAAATCAGTTGATCTCCATATTCCCTGTTCACACCACAGCACTGGTATCACGTGCAGATATTTTTTCTCGTAAAACTCATTGAAGCACGCATGAAAACTGATCTAAACTGATGTCTCTGCAAGTGAAATCTGCACGTCGTTTTCTATGTTTTTCCCCACGTATGGAGTGAACGAGGCCTTAACCTCCTTAGCGGTAATCCCGAGTGTAGCTCGGGGTAAAATTTCTATACCAAGAGCGGCAACCCCGAGCTACACTCGGGCTTACCATGCGGCGCTGCTCTGGGGGTCCCTGCAGCACTTACCTTGTCCTGCGCTCCCGCGATGTGTCCCATGCAGCGTCCCGGCCATCTCCTCCGGCGGAAGCCGGCATCCGGCGGAAGCCGGCATCCGGCTTCTGTGTTCCGGTCCCTGTGACGTCGGGACGTACGGGCGCCGGAACCGGCGGGAAATTTGAATTCTTTTAAAAATGTCATTTTTGCTGTCATTGCTGTTTCAATGCATTTCACATATATTTGGTCCCTACTGCTTTGTCCTGCGCCCTGCCTGCATTTTGAAAGTTCTTTCTGCCTGGAAACTTAGAACAGTCCATGGCGTCCAAAAAGCGTCCCTTTACGTCAAAAGCGGTTTTAGAACAGCGATAGTAAATCAGAACCACTTGCAGAATTGAGTGATAATGATTTGTGGGGAAATTCGTCATCAGACACTGAAAACGATTTTGCGACTTTGCTCAGCGATGTGCGAATTTGCCTCTGTATTTCAAATTTCAGTGTTTTTGGTTTGATTATATTCTTGAATTAAATTTATTATTATTATATTATTATTTTTTATGATTATTTATTAAATTATAATTTATGATTTCGTGTTTCAAGTTTTATCATACCCGGGATGTTTAATAGACTCTTGTTCGGACAGATTTCAGTGAGTTATTCCTAAAAATTACAGCCTACAATAAAAAACTACATATTTCCATGCAAAAAAATGGTACCGCTTTCAGCACAAAAAATCGTAAAGAATCATACTGCCAAGGAGGTTAAACTGCAATTTCATTTGGGTTTTCAAATCATTTTAAAGGAAACTTTACCACTGGACTGAAGTGTGTTGAGCTTGTCACATACTCTGTAATCCACGTGACTATAATAACTTAGTTATGCATTTATAATATATCATCTTTTCTGTTTGTATTTCCATGCTGCAGGTTTTACGCTGGACTCGGTGCTAAAAAACAAGACCGGTTTTCGGGAATTCCTTCAATCTAATCTCTCTCTGCCCAATAACATTGTTGACTTGTTGGCCGGGTCCAGCATCAATTTACAGGAGGTGAGCTGTTAACGTATACAACATATATCAGTGAGAGTACATGGATTGGGTCACCTAACCCTGTTCTCAACCCAGATTGGATAAATTCATAGGTAGCCTTATAAGATGAACTGGTCTGCCGGTGTCTTCTCCTGATGTGCGAATGGGTAGAGGGGTCCTGACTGCCATTACCAATATTAGAAACAGCCAATGTCACAGCTTCTTTATCAGATATTTCCCCATTCCACAGAAATTATATTGAGCCAGTCAATATGCACAAAACATTTTAAGGCACACTGAGACTGGCGGAATAGATTCTGGAAGAGATAGTTTGCCTATTGGAGTCAACAGGGGAAGCAAAATTATTTTGGTTTAAAGCAGTAAACCACTTCAAGTCCGGACACTTTCACCCCCTTCCAGTCCAGGCCAATTTTCAGCTTTCAGTGCTATCACACTTTGAATGACAATTGCGCTGTCATGCAACACTGTAACCATATGAATTTTTTAGCAGTGTTTTGAGACAGATAAAACTTTATTTTGGTGGCATTTATTCACCACTGGGATAAATCTTGGCCAAAATGTATTCATCTATCTTTTTAGTAAAAACAAAATAACCCAAATTAGTTTGTAACCAAAAATTAAAATTTTTCTTATTTTTTTCTTTACATTTTTATTTTATTACCATAGTGACACTGTACTACTTGTGGGGGGTGATGAAGATGTTTTTTTCTTTTTTTTACACTGATTGCTTTTACACCCATAAGGCTGTAAAAGCAATCATTTCTCCTTCTCTTTGGCTGCATTCTTGCAGCCATTGAGAAATACTGTGAGAGCTGTGATTGGTCACAGCTTGTCACATGGTACAAGGCTGTTGTGAATAGCCTTGTACCATATGACCTCTGTGATAGTAAGTAGTAAGCAATGATGTCAGGCAGTGACGCTTACGACTATTCATGTGATCACCAGTGGCGGACTGACCATTGGGAAACTCGGGCACTGCCCGAGGGCCCGAGGTCAGTAGGGGGCCCCATGAGATGCCCCTGGTACCTTTTTCATAGGCTTTTTTGAGTTTGGGCAAGGACACAGGGGCCCCATGATCCCCTATTGCCCGCTGGCCCATGAGTTGTCAGTCCGCCCCTGGTGATCACTGATTGGCCAATCAGTGATCACATGATTGGGACCTCGCACAGAGGTCCCGTACATCGTTCGGTGCTCCCAGGGAGCGCGGCACAGGCAATGGATGTGGGGGGGTTTAGAAACTTCCACCCTCTCCGCTCCCGTCTGGCCGTTTATGTACATGGGCCAGAAGGGAAGTGGTTAAACCCAAAAGCAAACCTTTAAGATATTAAAGCGTACCAATTCTTAGATGCATTGGCTGTTTTTAGTTTTTCTTTTTTTAGGCTTTCTCTTATTTTCAACTGGTGATATACCATGTAAGAGTATATGTAAAGTGCTGTGTAAATTGACGGCGCTATATAAGTAACTGAAATAAATAAATAAATAAGAGGGTTGAGACAAACCATTTACCACTGACAGGGGTGCTTACAATGGTCAGCTTTTATTCATTCATGTAAACCTTTGTCCCAAAAGAACAAAAAAAAAACTGTTTCTTTAACTGCTTGTGTAATGGCAGTGTGAGCTTGAGTTTGGCTTCAGTTTGTTGGTGTATCTAAATCTGCTAGTATATCACCCTCCCCCCAGACTGACAATGCTGCTGTCCAAAGGTGCCCCCTGTGCTCCTTCATCCAGAGTGGGTGCACTCTAATACAGGAGATGTGTTACTGGCTAGATCATCAGGTGAAAACAGAGGGGGAAAAAAAACTAAAGCGATATTAAACCCAAAAATGTAATATATTGCAGTTTACCAATCATTAAAATGTGGTGGCATCATTCGTTTTTTTTTTTAAAGTGTATTTCCAATTTTGCAGTCAGCTTGCGATAAAAGCTACTTTATATTTGTTATATGTCCCTATTAACATAGCATGAAAATATTTAAACATGCTGTTTGCTTTTTTAAAGTGATATTAAAGGCAATTTAAAAAGAAACTAAACATGTCTATACTTACCTGCTCTGTGTAATGATTTTGCACAGAGCAGCCCCGATCCTCCAGTTCTGGTGTCCTCCACTGGCACTCCTGGACCCTCCCTCCTGCCAAGTTGTTTGCTCTAGGGCAGTGGTCTCCCTGGGGCCAGATGCAGCCCTTTGCTTTGCTTATCTGGCCTTGGGACACTTTTCCTCCAATTGACACCAATGATGGGGCACTATTCTTCCCACTGACCCTGGGGCATTTTCTACGCCCACTGGCCACAGTCCAGCCCCCCTAATTCCTGAAGGACAGTAAACCAGCCCTTTGTTTGGACAGTTTGGAGACCCCTGCTCTAGGGGCACCCAAGCCACTGCCCTGCATGTCCATTCACACATAGCGCTGCTTGGCCCCACCTCCTCTCTGTCTTCATTGGCTCACTGGCTGTGATTGACAGCAGGGGGAGCCAATGAGGAAGGAGTTGAGAGCTGAGGTTCTCATGCACAAAGCTGGATCGCAATGGGAGTTGGGGAGGGGAATGTTTTTTTTACCTTCTTGTATAGAATGTTTCATTAGATACAGTGTGCTGTGTGAATGGGAACATACTATACAACAGCCCTCAAAATTTCCACTTGCCTGCTCACATTGGTGGGCAGTGGGGGTGGTGACAAGCAGCGATCTCCTGTATCTCCTGTATGGCTGTCAATGAAAGCCGCGGGAAGGAGAGGAGGAGATGCGGCTTCCAGCTCCTTCGTTGACAGCTATACAGGAGATCGCTGCTTGTCACAGCTGCACATATCATACCTGATCGTTCCATTTCTTTCCTGGCCCCCCCAGCCCCTCCCTCTATCCAATCCAACCAACAGGAGACTGCACACTGAGGAGCAGACAGCGGGGGGGGGGGGGGGGGGGGGGGGGACATAAAGAAATGGAATGATCAGGTATGATCTATGCAGCGGTGAAAAGCAGCAATCTTCTGTACATCTTTCAAAGAAGCAGCTGGAAGCCGATCTCCTCCTTTCCCTCTTGCGGCTTTCAGATGCTTCATTGAAGAAAGAGGGAGGAGAGAGAGCCTGGATCTGCTCTGCCTCCCCTGTGCCCGCCCACACTCCAGTCCATGCAGTTTTAGAGGATGTGTGGGCGGGAAATTGAACACAGAGCAGCCGGCCACTCTGATGCTTCTGAATGAGCATGTGAGTGCGACCTTCCACCTTCCTTCCTTCCTTCCACCCCTCCCCCATCCTTCCTTCCACCAACCCCTTACTTCCACCCCTTCCTCCCATCCTTCCACCCCTTCCTCCCATCCTTCCCCACCCTCCCTCCCTTCCTTCCACTCCTCCCTCCCCTTCCTTCCTTCCTTTCACCCACCCTCCCTCCCTTCCTTCCTTTCACCCCACCCTCCCTCCCTTCCTTCCTTTCACCCACCCTCCCTCCCTTCCTTCCTTTCACCCACCCTCCCCCTCCCTTCCTTCCTTTCACCCACCCTTCCTTTCCTTCCTTTCACCCACCCTTCCTTTCCTTCCACCCACCCTTCCTTCCTTCCTTCCTTTCCCCCAACCCCTCCCTTCCTTCCTTTCACCCACCCCTTCTTTCCTTCTTTTCACTCACCCCTCCCTTCCTTCCTTTCCCCACCCCCTCCCTTTCCCCAACCCCTCCCTTCCTTCCTTCCACCCACCCCTCCCTTCCCTCCAATCCTTCCACCCACACCTCCCTTCCTTCCTTACACCCACCCCTTCTTCCTTCCTTCCTTATTTCCTTCCTTCATTTCTTCCTTTTTTCCTTCCTTCCACCCCTTCCTCCCTTCCTTCCACCCCTCCTTTTCACCTCTTTGTTCCTTCCAGCCACACTTCCCTTCCTTCGTTCCTTCCTTCCCCTCACCCCTCCTTTCCTTCCTTCCCTCTCTTTCTTCCCTCTATTTCTTCCCTCCCTTCCACTCCTCCCATCCTTCCTTCCACAACTCCCTTCCTCCCTTCCACCCCTCTCTCCCTTCCTTCCTTCCACCCTTCCCTTCATTTGTTCCACCCCTTCCTCCTTTCCACCCCTTCCTTCCAACCCTCCCTCCCTTCCACCCCTTTCGCCCTTCCTTCCTTCCTTCTACCCCTCCCTTCCTTCCATTTCCTTTATTCCTTCCTTCCCTTTCCTTCCTTCATTCTGCATAAAACATTTAACAGTGCCATTTCATGAGATAATTTACGAGGGTGTAATTAGGGGCGGGACAGGTTAGGGGTTAGGTGGGACAACTGGTGGTGAGTAACTCTTAAGTCCTGGCCAGTAGTTCAGGACTTGAAATTTTGAGCCCTGCTATATAACAAACATTTAGTGGGGGTTTTCTCAAAATTGACTGCAGTGAAATTATGCTTTAAGGAGGTTTGGGGGTTTTCTAGCCTATATGTATTTTTTGAGTGTGAATAAATGCAAATAAAGTAAATGCAAATAAAGAAAAAAAAGCAAAATTTTAAATTGCCTCCTTACATTTTTCAATTTGCTATTTGGAAAAGGCTTGAAGGCTTGTGTTTTTTTTTTTTTTTTTTTTTTTTTTTCAGAGCATGCAGGATGATTATCACTGATCATGAACACATGTTGTTATTAAAAATGTAGACAATTCACTTTCATACATAATTTGGTAATCCTGTATTGTTCTTTTGCCATTTAAAAACTTAATAAAAAAGAGTGAAACAGAAAAAAAAAAGAGTAAAAAAAAATAAAAGTAGCAAATTGAAATTGGATGGCATTGTTTACCCATGGTGCTTTGGAAATCCTTCATCATGTGCAGTAGTAAATGTTCATTTGTAAAACACTGTTTTAAACCAAAGACTGCATACATATAGTAAAAGCAGACAGAAAATAATAGGTTTAAAGGTGTCGAAACATAACAATGAAAACATCTCAAAATGTATATAGATTTCCTTTAAAACACCTATAAATGGGACCTGGTGTCTCCTGCTTTTTCTGTATGTGATATACAAGCATATGAGGCATTGGGTCACAGGCTGCTATCTTACTGCTACATGTAGAGGTGGGCGGGTGTAATGAGCTAGCCTTGTCCACAAGTATTTGATATATTGATATTAACTGCTGGAAGCTCTGACCTTCTAACCCCTGTATTGATAATCATTACATTGTGGTATGTTTGTAAGGAACAGGTTTGTATGAATCATATATCTTTAGAAGATTGTGTAATGGAAATCTATCACGAAGCAATAAACTTGTCCCAGAAGCTTCTGATTGAAGCTGCAATTTCTCAGCTTTGCATTCTCTTTCCAAGGCTGTAGGGATGACCCTATGCAGCAGTAATCAGGATTTGAGGGATAGCAGCTTCCATCTGAGGTTTCTGAAATGGTGGTTTAGATTCTTGACACATTCTCTTTTAGAGGTTGATTATAATAATTTTTTGTAGGATCTTTATTTTGCAAACAAGCACTTAATACCTGGTGCACCCATGACACCCTTCTAAGATGGAATCCTGGAGCAGCCTATATGTTTGGAAGCACACTATGTAGCTGCATTAGACCCAGGGGCGGACTGACAACTCATGGGGCCCCCAGGCAATAGGGGATCATGGGGCCCCTGTGTCCTTGCCCAAACTCAAAAAAGCCTATGAAAAAGGTACCAGGGGCATCTCATGGGGCCCCCTACTGACCCCGGACCCTCTGGCAGTGTCCGAGTTTCCAAATGGTCAGTCCGCCCCTGGTTAGGCCATCTAATTTAAAATGAAGTAAACTGAATGGCTTTGGCTTTGGCACTGTCATCGTGATTGTGGTTTCACTGCCTAATGAGTCATTGACCCAGAACAAGCATGTAGGGCAAAGGTTTCTTTCCATTCTTTAGTGACTGGATGCTTGTTGCAGGTCATGGACTCAGTAGATAATGAAGCCTGGATTGCAATAACAGCCCTGGAGCCTGCAAAAAAAAAAAAGAGAAATGCAGCCCCCCCCCCCCATATTTATTTTCCCATAGGTTCACTTTAACCCTGATTTGAAGGGGTTGTATGTTCTTCCTGTAGGAGTCCATCTACCAGGTGTCTAATCTGATCTCCCTGCTTTTCACAGCTAAAAGATGTTAATTGATCAACTTGAGAGCTGGTGCTGTTTGTCTGAGTTGAATGTGTGGATGAGCTTGGGTGTGTGATAGCGGGCATCTCTAGAACCTTTTCTGCTTTTACAGAGCTAAAAGATTTTATTTTTTTCTTCTATTGGGTTTTTTTTACAGCAAATCTAACTGATTTCAAATGCAATAATTTTTTCCCTCTGAGAGCATCCTGAATTTGACTCACCTCTCCATGTGACGCCGTCTACACAATCCATGTTGTGATAGGAAATTGCCAATAAAGTGGTTGCAAACTGCAGACATGAAATATGAACAACATATCCCTCTGTAGTGTGTACTTGTCTCAATCCAGAGTACTAAGTGTCATTTCTGTCTGCTGCCTCCTTCCTCCTCTATTTGCATGAATCACTTCTGACAAGTTTCCCTGACATCAAGAGAAAAATGAGGACAGGGGAGGGAACAGCCTGCAATTGACAGCCTCAGCTCTGTTTAGGGAGCTGAAGTTACATTAGTGAGGAGAACTGTGAGATCTGATTGGAGAGAAGGGACACACCCCTCTTCACACAGCACACAGAAACCAAGCTGAGGCTGTCAATCACAGGCTGTGTCCTCCCCTGTTACCATTTTTCTCCTGGTGTCAGGAAAACCTTTCAGAAGTGACTCATGCTGATAACAGTGGAATGAGGCAACAGACAGAAATTACATTTAGAGCTATGGATTGAGACAAGTATACACCATAGAAGGATATGCTTTATTCATATTTTTATGAGCTTTGCAACCACTTTAAGTATAACTTAAAGCGGATCGTCACTCAAACAGGGAAGTACTGCTAGCTCACTCCTTTCCTGAATTGCAGGATTTTGTTTTGGGAGGTGGGGTAGAGTATAGTCTTTGTTATTGGTTCCCACTTCCACAGTCCTCCCATCGGTGAGGATGATGCTGCTTTTCCCGCCCCCTTCCACAGCCTCCTGGGACACATCACATATCCCTGGAGTCTGTAAGACCATTCACAGAAGGCTGTGCAAGCTTACACATGTACAGGTGAAATTCACAAAATTTGAATAGAATATTGAGCAAAAGTTAATTTATTTCAGTAATGCAACTTAAAAGGTGAAACTAACATATGAGATATAATGAGACTCATTACATGCAAAGCAAGATAGTTCAAGCCGTGATTTGTCATAATTGTGATGATTATGGCTTACAGCTCATGAAAACCCCAAATCCACAATCTCAGAAATTTAGAATATTACATGCAATCAATAAAACAAGGATTGTACATAGAACAATATTGGACCTCTGAAAAGTATAAGCATGCATATGTACTCAATACTTGGTTTGGGCCCCTTTTGCAGCAATTACTGCCTCAATGTGGCGTGGAAGCTATCACCCTGTGGCACTGCTGAGGTGTTATGGAAGACCAGGATGCTTCAATAGCGGCCTTCAGCTCTTCTGCATTGTTCGGTCTCATGTCTCTCATCTTTCTCTTGGCAAAGCCCCATATATTCTCTATGGGGTTCAGGTCAGGCGAGTTTGCTGGCCAATCAAGCACAGTAATCCCCCGGTCATTGAACCAGGTTTTGGTGCTTTGGCAGTGTGGGCAGGTGCCAAGTCCTGCTGGAAAATGAAGTCAGCATCCCCATAAAGCTCTTCTGCGGAAGGAAGCATGAAGTGCTCCAAAATCTCCTGGTAGACGGCTGCGTTGACCCTGGACTCAATGAAGCACAGTGGATCAACACCAGCAGATGACATGGCTCCCCAAATCAACAAAGACTGTGGAAACTTCACACTGGACTTCAAGCCTCTTGCAGTGTGTGCCTCTCCATTCTTCCTCCATACGCTGGGTCCTTTGTTTCCAAATGAGATGCAAAAGTTGCTCTCATCAGAAAAGAGGACTTTGGACCACTGAGCAACAGACCAGGTCTGTTTTTCTTTAGCCCAGGTAAGACGCTTCTGACGTTGTTTGTTGTTCAGGAGCAGCTTGACAAGAGGAATACGACATTTGAAGCCCATGTCCAAGATCCGTCTGTGTGTGGTGGCTCTTGATGCACTGACTCCAGCCTCAGTCCACTCCATGTGAAAGTCCCCAACACTTTTGAATGGCTTTTTCCTGATAATCCTCCAGGCTGCGGTCATCCCTGCTGCTTGTGCACCTTTTTCTTCCACACTTTTCCCTTCCACATAACTTTCTATTAATGTGCTTTGATACAGCACTTTGGGAACATCCAACTTCTTTTGCAATTACCTTTTGAAGCTTTCCCCTCCTTATGGAGGGTGTCAATGATGGTTTTCTGCACATCTGTCAGGTCAGCAGTCTTTCCCATGATTGTGATTCCTACTGAACCAGACTGAGAGACCATTTAAAGGCTCAGGAACCCTTTGCAGGTGTTATGACTTAATTAGCTGATTAGAGTGGGACACTTTGAGCCTAGAATATTGCACCTTTTCACAATATTCTAATTTTCTGAGATTGTAGATTTGGGGTTTTCACGAGCTGTAAGCCATAATCATCACAATTATGACAAATCACGGCCTAAACTATCTTGCTTTGCATGTAATGAATCTATCTCATATATTAGTGTCACCTTTTAAGTTGCATTACTGAAATAAATGAACTTTTGCACGATATTCTAATTTTTCGAGTTTCACCTGTACACTGGGGAGCCAGCTGTGGTTCCTCAGGAAGCTGCAGATGGCTCCCATATCCAAGATGGCGTCAGAGACCCGCAGCAGTAAGAAGACCTGGCTTCGGGTAGACACCGCTGGCCTCCAGGCACTGGTAAGTACCTGATTTTTAAAATCAGCAGATACAGTTTTTGTAAAACAAAAAAAAATGAAGTTCCTCTTTAAGGATAAGTAGTAATGAAAAAAGCATCAAACCAATTAGTTTTTTGGCCATTAATTGTTGGTCTGTGTAGCTGAGGGTGTGGTGAGGATGTGTACTTTGCCTATGTGCTAAAATGTGACATCTTTCCCATCTCAGAAAGTAGTTTGGAATGCCTTTAATGCTAATCCACGTTCTTTTCATTGTGCAGAGAGATCTCTGATTTTATCATAAAGTATCTCTATGTATGGGCTCTGAGTCACCATGTGTGATATTACTCCTCCAGGTCTACCATCTGCTCTTCAGCTCCTCCTACCTTTCTGGTGATGACCTGCCAGCCAAGAGCCCTTGGGATGCGGCCACCACAGCAGGGGGACAGATCCTCAATCTCCAGGTGTGTATCAATCCAAACTGTACTTTTTATGGACAAATTTTCACACAATTACAGACAACCCAACTGTTCTAGGGACATATCCTAGTTCCATCACTGAACAGCCTACAGTGATAATATGATCTAATTCTTGGCAGCCTTCCTTTATTATAACAGAAATCTGTTGTGTAAGAGTCTTAACATCACTCTATAGAGAACTGTGTGACCTATAAAGCACTCCCTAGTTGTTTAGAAGGCCACTGCCAAATACATTATCCAAATTAGATGTGATATATAGATTATGACTGGCTTTCTGTGGACCTTGAAGTGTATCTAAATCCAAAAAGTAAAGTTTAATATATTTAGTCCTTAGATGCGATAGCTGCATTTGTCTTATTTCAGGCTAAGAACATTTTCAGCAGGGGCAAAAAATATGTTAATCTTGCTAGAAACACATTCATAATGTTCTCTTTCAATAAAACACTAATACCCCACCCACTGTGTAATGGAGATTAAGACCTGTTTGAAGTCCAAACAGTGACAACCATGCAGGTCAGATTGAAATACATTGCTTTTACAATGTATACGCATTAGCAGGGCTCAGAATTTCAAGTCCTGAGCTACTAGCCAGTTACTCACCACCCAACCCCTACCCTGCACCGCCCTTAATTCCGCCCCTAAACACGCACTCGTAAATTATCTCATGACATGATGCTGTTAAATGTTTTACGCAGAATGAAAGGAAGGAAATGGATGGGAGGGAGGGAGGGGTGAAATGGAGAAAGAGGCGGAAGGAACGAAAAAGGGGTGAAAGGGAGGTAGGGGTGGAAAGAAGGAAGGGGGAAGGGAGGGGTGGAAGGAAGGGAGAAAGGGAGGGGTAGAAGGAAGGGAGGAAGGGAGGGGTGAAAGGATGGGTGGGAGGGATGGAAGGAAGGGAGGTAGCGATGGAAGGAAAGGAGGGATGGAAGGGAGGGGTGGGTGGAAGGAAGGAACGAGGGAAGGGTAGGTGGAAGGAACGAAGGGAGAGGTGCAAGCGAGCGGTGGAAGGAACGAAGGGAGGGATGGAAGGAAGGAAGGAAGTGGTAGAAGGAAGGGGTGGGTGGAAAGAAGGAAGGGGTGGGTGGAAAGAAGGAAGGAAGGGGTGGGTGGAAAGAAGGAAGGATGGGTGGACGGGAGGGGTGGAAGGAAGGATGGGTGGACGGGAGGGAGAGAAGGAAGGGAGACTGGTAGGAAGGAAGGAAGGGAGGGGTTGGTGGAAGGAAGGAAGGGAGGTCAGACTCACATGCTCAGTCAGATGCATCAGACCTGTTGGCTGCTGTATTCAATTTCTCACCCACACATCCTCTGAAGCTGCACGGACTGGAGTGTGGTCGTGCACAGGGGGAGGCAGAGCAGATCCAGCCTCTCTCCCCTCTTCTGCTATTGGTACAGCGGTGGGGGCAGTGACAAGCAGCGATCTCCTGTATGTCTTTCAATGAAGCAGCTAGAAGACGCTTCTCCTCCTCTCCCTCCTGTGGCTTTCAGCTGCTGCATTGAAAGCCATGCAGGAGATCGCTGCTTGTTACTGCCCTCACCACCACCTCTCCCACACACCCCTAGTCCCGGTGCTTCTCGCCCCATCTTATTTCCACTGGCCCAATGCAAGCGAGGGCTGCGCATTAGCATGTGTTGATCAACTGGTGTGAATGGACTCTTATAAATATGCCCCTAAATATCCTTGAAACAATGTTTCAAGGTTTCGGAAATCTGTTACCAACTTGAGGTTACCTGTAGAACCTGCTGCCCCGGTGGACCTTGAAGACATCTCAAGTTTGCCAACAACTATATAGTGTGGGAATCTATCTTCACAATTTATTCAAAATATATCCCCTCGGTATGTCGCATCAGCTGGGCACCCCACACTACTATGTTGTTGGTGATTTTTTTTCTGCTTGAATACATGACACATAAAACGGAATCTGCCTATTTGTGACCAGTAAATATCTGGCCATAGCTGCTCATAGCTCTGCAGTCTTCTCCTGATCCTACCACAAAAATCCCTGATCTACATAGAGAACTGGAGGCAACTTCCTTAGAGTTTTTCCTACATATTGGAATATATTTCTTTGTAACTGCAAATGCTTCTTACAGCCCGAAGTTCTTAGTCTCCCGCTAGAGAAATCCTACCTGGCCTGATCAATGCAAGCTCATATTCGCTGATGGATGATGGCCATCTTCACAGGATTTGTCATTTGCACATTCCTAGAAATATGAAATGCTTATTAGATTTATTTAAATACCTGGATCTCCTCTCTCACACCACAGACAGAGGTTGTAACATTTAAATAGCTTTTCCTCCAGCATTAATGATGATTCAAAATATACCAAAATCCAGACAATTGAATATTAACATTCTAGTATACAATTCACAAATTTTAGAGCATATGCTCAAACCATCAGTAATTTTATGGTACAAAAACAAAAATTTGCATCACCCAATTAACCTCTTAGGTTGTCATATAGCTTGTAAATCAAATGGTGCCAGACCCTTAGCCATCCCTCCCATATTCTTTCAAATTTAGTGGGGCAGCCCCAATGCTAAAAACTTAAGTGTTTATACCTCAATGTAATAGCCATACGTGTGAAATCTGTGAATGATCACAGAGGTCACATGGTACAAGGCTATTCACAACAGCCTTGTACCATGTGACAAGCTGTGACCAATCACAGCTCACTCAGTAGTTCTCAATGGCTGTAAGAATGCAGCCAAAGAGGAGAAATGATTGTTGTTACATCCTATATGGGTGTAAAAGCAATCAGTGTAAAAAAAAAAAAAAAAAATCTTCATCACACCCCACAAGTAATTTTTTTTTTAAATTATAATTTTTGGTTATAAACTAATTTGTGTTATTTTTTTTTTTTTACTAAAAAGATAACGGAATAAATTTTGGCCAAGATTTATGATGAAATATTTTTATTTGCAAAATTTTATAAGAAAAACACTTTTTTTCAAAATTTTTGGATTTTTTCATTTAAATAGCAAAAAAAATAAAAATCCCAGGGGTGAATAAATACCACTAAAATAAAGCTTTATCTGTCTCAAAAAAATGCAAAAAAATTCATATAGGTACAGTGTTGCATGACCGCGCAATTGTCATTCAAAGTGTGTTAATGCTAAAAGCTGAAAATTGGCCTGGACAGGAAGGGGGTAAAAGTGTTTACAACTGTTTCCCAATATCTATGAAACTTTGGATATCACCATAGCATATGTATTAGGTTGCCGTGGTCCCAACCACATGTACCTCAAGTAGGTTCCTGTAGCAGGCCCATAGTACCCAATTTAGACAGAGTATAATGTGCTCATAATATAATATATCATTGAGAGAGCCTTTGGGATGTGTTCGAAAAGCTCAACTGAACACATTGCAATGCCTCTTCCCACTGTTCTGGTCCTATAATCTCCATGTCCCTATCCCATCTAACCATAGACCTGCATGGATGATCTTCCAAATATGCATTTAAAAGCAAGGGATAACATTGCGATATAAAGCCTTTTGTTAAAGTGGTCTTTTGCAAAAAGTTGAAAATCATCGTAGGAGACCTATGCCAAAGTGTGGAGAACCCTTGAGATGGGACAGCATGCCTACATTTAAATAAGATTAAATCTTAATAATGACCTTCTTGTGTGTGTGTGGCCCTGAAAACTGAAAATCTTCTTCTTGGTTGTCCCTGGGAAACTAAACCACCAACTGCTTCCTATATATCTTGGCAGCTCTTTGGGTAAGACCTCTGCTATGAATTCCCAGGTCTATTCAACTGCTGTGACCTTTATGAGAGATTCACACTTTTGCTGTTTGTATACTTTTTATTATGGAGAATTTTAACCATATAACTGGGGGGGGCTGTGATATACACAATGGTGAAGAACACCCATAACTCCCAGGTGGCCTGGAACAGAGCCAGAAATTATGGCAGATTGATATCACTGTTTGAGTATCCAAGACATATAAGAAGACAGGGCTGACTCAGCCCATCAATCTCCACTTAACGGATTGATCTTGTTGCTTTTCATATTTTATTTCCAAGTCTTATTTGAATTATTATGTTGTCCTAGGGAAATGTTTTAGGAAAATTGAAATCTTTCCCAGAAGGTCTGATCCATAAGGCTTTGCGAGATCCCAGAAAGTCTGGACACAGACTGGCTCTACTCCGCCTCCTGACCCTGGCACTTGGCCTTGCGATCCCCAATACATCTTCTGACAGCTACGATCCTCAGGCTATGGTCAAAGAGCTGGAGGTAGGGACTGCAAACTGAACATATTGTATATGTAATAATATTATCTAAGAAGTGCGTTCATTAAACAATTCAACAACTGTGATGTACAGCAGGGTGCAGTAACAGCAGTACTACAGCAGTAGCCTTTTGTTTTCATTCAAAGCATGGAAGAAGGGGTGATGTGCCTGGAAAACATTTGAAAAAGTCCACAGAACACATTCTTTTGACTAGAAATATACATATGATATAATCATATGCAATATTCCATATAAAACTATACAAAAAAAAAACCAAAAAACAGAACTCGCCAAGCTACTCTTCCTTGAATAGTGGATGACCAAGAGAATTTTTATTTCCAAATCCACTCCTTTTCCTAACTCTCACCTCTAAACTTCCAAGTCCGAATCCTAACTCCAGTCCTCTCTAACACCCTACATCATTCAATCCCTTCCTCTCTGACCAGACTATCATTCACACATACCATGTAGTCCACAGAACTTCTAGCAGTGGCGTCATGACACCACCGTCCACCACCATAGGACACTCTTATTTTTTGTTCATGTTTTTTTTTTTATCTTCCCTCCACATTTCAGAATGTTTTTTAAACTGGTTGTAAACCTCAGACATGAAATATGAACAAAGCATATGCCTCTAAGCATATACGTTTCTCAGTTCAGAGCATCAAGTGTCATTTCTGCCTGCTGCCTAGTTCCACTATCTGCATAAGTCACTTCTGACAAGTTTTCCTAACATCAAGAGTAAAAAGGTGATGGGGAGGGACCTCCAGCACACAGCCTGTTATTGACAGCCTCAGCTCTGTTCCTGTGTGCTGTGTGAAGGGGGTTGTGTCCCTTCCCTCTAATCAGCTCTCAGAGCTGTTGACTTTGAATGGCTGTAGAGGAAAATTAAAACAGATAAACAGGTACAACTTATGTAGGAAGATTTGTTCATCTCTGTGTATTACCTGAGGCCAATCACTTCACTGGGTATATGTAAGCATTAACCACTTTAAGTTTAACACATTGACCACAATAAAATAAACATACCAAAGGAAACTATTTGTTAAAATTTCTTACCCAAACACATGCAGTTTACAATTTTCATCTCTGCTGACTCCTGCTGTTTCAGTGCTGCTTCCCTGAACTTCCAGTCTTCACAGGAAAGAGTTAACAGCGTTGGCTTGGAGAGGAGGAGGCTGGAGCAGAGGAGTGCCTTGCCATCCTAGGCTATGTGACTATGCGTCTCTATTAATGCACACAGTGTAGGGAGACACAGCTCTAGTCCCTGCATGCAAGGGTGGCTCCACGGGAGGCTGCAAGGAAAAGGAGCAACAACGGGAAACATATATATATATACATATATATATATATATACGTGATTTGCGTTTCTGGGTAGGAGGCGCACACCGCCCTACTCGCGCAGCTAGTGGCTGCTGAACATGTTAGTCACCGGGTTCCGGCCAGCGGTTCTCTTCCGGGACTCTGCGATCATCGGCAAAGCTGACTACTGATAGAAAGCTCTATTTGTGGGAAAAAATTACATAAATTTAATTTATGTACAGCGTTGCATGACCGCGCAGTTGTCAGTTAAAATAACGTAGCGCCGTATCGCAAAAAATGGCCTGGTCAGGAAGGGAGCTAAATCCTCTTAAGGGCAAGTGGTTTTCAATCACTTCCCGTCCGACCCATGTACATAAACAGCCGGACAGGAGCAGTGCCGAAGCGGGTGGCCGTTTATAAACGGCCCCCGCATTCAGTGCCTGTACGTGCTCCCTGGGACCATGCGGCACGACGATCCAATCGCTGTATGGGACCTCTGTGTGAGGGCCCGATCATGTGATCACTGATTGGCCAATCAGTGATCACATGAATAGTAGCAAACAAGATGTCACTTCCTGACATCATTGCATACGATGTGTGAAATCTGTGAATGATCACAGAGGTCACATGGTACAAGGCTATTCCCAACAGCTTTGTACCATGTGACAAGCTGTGACCAATCACAGCTCTCATAGTATTTCACAATGGCTGCAAGAATGCAGCCAGGGAGAATTAGAAATGATTGCTTTTACAGCCTTTATGGGTGTAAAAGCAATTTGTGTAAAAAAAAAAAAAAAAAAAATCTTCATCACCCCCCACAAGTAGTACAGTGTCACTATGGTGACACTGTACTGCTAGGGTGACAGCATGTTAAAAAAAAAAAAAAACATAAGAAAATAAAATAAAAAATGTAAAAACATTTTGAAAAAATTATAATTTTTGGTTATAAACGAATTTGGGTTTTTTTTGTACTAAAAAGATAGCTGAATACATTTTGGCCAAGATGTATAAAAGTAAGATTATTTATTTGCAAAAGTTTATAAGAAAAACACTTTTTTTTCAAAATGTTTGGACTTTTTAATTTATATAGCAAAAAAATAAATCCCAGTGGTGAATAAATACCACCAAAATAAAAAGTTTTATCTGTCTCAAAAAAATGCTAAAAAAATTCATATGAGTGCAGTGTGGCATGACTGCGCAATTGTCATTCAAAGTGTGACACCGCTGAAAGCTGAACATTGGCCTGGACAGGAAGGGGGTGAAAGTGTCCGGACTTCAAGTAGTTAATGAAACTATGGCGTAACAATCAAGTAAACTGAGTGTCAAATGATTACTTTCATGTAAATGTGTTACAAAAATAATTAAAATCTGTGTCACGAATTGTCTTGTACCAGGAGATCCTTTTCACTCCAGCAGCCCTGGAATCTCTTACATGTGAAGGGAGTTTGGATGAGCTGAGTAATATCCTTGGAGTGTCGAAGGCAAAGAGGCCCTTACTAACCTCTTATAGGAGCATTATATGTGTTGAGAATGAGCCAACGCGTATGGAGCATTTCAAGGAACTGGCTGGGGAGTTGAAGGAGCAAGTGGATGTTCGTAAAACCGTCAGCCGAGTAAGTTTTCAACTTCCAGCAGAAACACGTTGACAGCTTCAACAAAAGACTGCTCATAGATAAGTCAGCTGAATGAACAAGCAGATTCCATTAGCCTTCAACAATGGCTGTCAGCTGGATGGCAATGTATCTGCAGCCAAAAATGTATTTTTTTATTTTTTTTTATTTGGATACGTTGGGGAAGGTTAGAACTTCTGCTAGTTTTTACTGCTGTCTGTGGCCCTGTTATAGAGATTACCCCAACTTCCTGTCCCAGTGACAACACAGACATCCTTTTCACCTTACTGTGGTTCAGATATTGACAGGTGTAAAGCAGTAAAGGAAAGTCACTGATCTTAAAGCAATCCCATGTTTTGCCCATTTGGGGCCAAAGCAACAGGTTTGCATTAATCCCCCTCTTCTCTCCTGCTTATACTTATCTTTCATTCACCCCCTGCTGTTCTGTTTAGCACAATTAAATATTTAGTCTTTCCAGGTTTAGAGGAGAATATGACACACTCCAATGGACTTATTTACTAAAACTGCATGGTCCAAAATCTGGTGTAGCTCTGCATAGAAACCAATTAGTCTCCAGGTTTTATTGTCAAATCTTAACCTCTTCACGACGGTGCCTCCTGGCCCTTTAAGGGGTTTCAGACAGGGTTTTAGGGTCATGGGATAGCCGTGATTCGCTGTCACGGTGGTCACGTGATTGGAAAAGGTTCCAAGGGGAGATCGGGAGCTTTCCATGAGACACCGACATATGTGCTGGGAGCACTCGCTCTCAGCACATATGTGTTATCAAATGGTACGCAAATATGCAGCCGCTCGGCATCAAGGCCCAGCTGCCTAGGGGCTGCATATTTGCGTACGATCGGCATCAAGGGGTTAAAGTGTTACTAAACCCAGGACCCTGCATTCACTCTATTTGGTCTTCCGCAGCACACAGAACATGGAAATGCAATTATTTTAGTAAATATAAACTGCTAAATACCTTTTCTCAACAGTAGTTGGAGCAGTCTTGTGACTTCTATCAGTGTCCAGAACAGCACTAGTTAAAGCTTGTAGGAGGAGTTTTCATTCTCCCCTGATCGTCCTATGGGGCTGCATTCAATGTTATACAGGGCTTTTTTCTTGGAGAATAGGTGCAGGAACTCAACAACGCCCCCCGACCTTCCCCCGGGGAGGGGGCGTGTACACCACAGCAAGGTGTGGGAGAGTCTTAAAGGAGTGCTACGTACAGAGTGCAGAGTTCAGGAGGATGCTATGTACAGAGTGCAGAGTTCAGGAGGTTGCTATGTACAGAGTGCAGAGTTCAGGAGGATGCTATGTACAGAGTGCAGGATTCAGAAGGATGCTATGTACAGAGTGCAGGATTCAGGAGGATGCTACATGCAGAGTGCAGAGTTAAGGAGGATGCTACATACAGAGCACAGGGTTCAAGAGGATGCTATGTACAGAGTGCAGGGTTCAGGAGGATGTGAAGTTCAGGGTTCAGGAGCATGCGAAGTACAGAGTGCAATGTTCAGGAGGATGCCAAGTACAGAGTGCAGGGTTTAGGAGGATACTACGTGCAGATTTCAGGAGGATGCCAAGTACAGAGTGCAGGGTTCAGGAGGATACTACGTGCAGATTTCAGGAGGATGCTACTTACAGAGTGCATGGTTCAGGAGGATGCTACGTACAGAGTGCATGGTTCAGGAGGATGCTACGTACAGAGTGCATGGTTCAGGAGAATGCTACGTACAGAGTGCATGGTTCAGGAGGATGCTACGTACAGAGTGCATTGTTCAGGAGGATGCTGCATGCAGAATGCAGGGTTCAAGAGGATGCTGCGTACAGAGTGCAGGGTTCAGGAGGATGTGAAGTTCAGGGTTCAGGAGCATGCAAAATACAGAGTGCAATGTTCAGGAGGATGCTAAATACAAAGTGCAGGGTTCAGGAGGATGCTACGTGCAGAGTTCAGGAGGATGCTACGTACAGAGTGCAGGGATCAGGAGGATGTAAAGTTCAGGAGCATGTGAAGTACAGAGTGCAAGGTTCAGGAGGATGCTAAGTACAGAGTGCAAGTTCAGGAGGATGCTACGTACAGAGTGCAGGGTTCAGGAGGATGTGAAGTTCAGGAGAATGCAACATACAGAGTGCAAGGTTCAGAAGGATGCTAAGTACAGAGTGCAGTGTTCAGAAGGATGCTAAGTACAGAGTGCAGTGTTCAGAAGGATGCTAAGGATGCAGTGTACGGATGCTACAGAGTGCAGGATTCAGGAGGGTACTACATTCTTCCTCCAAGGCTCCTCTAATTATCTATCATAAGACACGTCAGAGTAGAGGAGGAGCCCAGCGTAAGCTTCCCTGGCTCTGTTACACGTGTGTGACAGGCGGCAGGCGGAGGTGAGAGATGAGGTGGATGCCCAGCATTAGTGATGCTATTGCCGTCACCTCTGTATAGTACACCAGGCGCACCCCGGAAGGGTTTGGTGCAGCAGCCTGGAAAGAAGCACTGTCATGTCTAAATATAGAAGCCAAGGTTCTGTGTTTACAAGTGACAGGAGTTAGCAGAAAGCACAGGGCCAGAAGTGGCAGAACTCCATTCCGCCACGTTCTGGCTGAAAAGAAAACCCTGATGTTATATATCATATACGTGTTTTAAGATGTTGATTTCTAAAAACTAAGCAAAAAAAAAAAAAGCATAAAAAAAAAAAATCACTTTTGAATCTGTAAAGCACCTACTCTAGAATAGTCACAACAGGATGCTGACAAATGCCACTGTGCTGTTTTTGAAGACAGGGGGCATAATTTTCTTTTAAATGAATCTCTGTTATATCACAGCTTCGCCTGGATGAGGTAAATGCCACTGAAACCCAGCACAGGCTGCGCTCTCTCCTGGAAGATCTGCTTCAAGTAGAGAAGATCTTGAAGGATGTGGATATCCTCTCAGCACTGGCCAAGTTGTTACCGAAGGGGGCATGCGCTACCAAGAGTGCCCCAACACCTATCAATTCTACCAGCTGGAATTTCAACTCCACTGGCAGTTCCAACTCTACAGGAGAGGGTGAGGATGGCAGGACCCAGGAGCACGAACCAGATGAAGAAAACCCACGTAGCCAATTCTCAGCCTTTGTCCAGCTATGGGCTGGCCTGCAGCCCATCCTCTGTGGCATCAACCGGTCAGTGCCAAATAGATTTATTTGTAACTAGAGTGTATGTTCCAGGCAACATCAAGAATGTGACAATCAATGAGACTGTATTTCGTAACAGAGATAACATAATTGTTATCATAATTTCCAAGAGTAAAGTTACCTTTGTTCCGGGGAAAAAAAAAGAAACAAATTCCAAATGAGTCATCATTTTCTAGGTTTATGATACAGAAAATTGCATGTTGCAATGTTAATTCACGATTTCCCAATCCAAATCTGTTAATATATCCATATACCCCCAGTGTTCACAAACCATAGGTTACACTGCCCATGCCACCAAATTATTATTTACTATTGGTGCTCCCTACATCCATCAGAATCCTGCTCATGTATTGGGCCTGGCAATTTAAAAGGAAGTTGGCCAGACCTGGCAAATGAGTAAAATTCTGATGGGAGCACAAGTGGTGAAAAATAATGTGCTGGCCTAGGCAGTGTAACCTGCGGTTTCTGAACACTAGAGTTATGGATATGTTGACTCATTTAGATGGGGAAATTGTGGAGTAAAATGGCAACTTGTACATGCAACAAACATTTTTAGACTTTGTATGCCAACTGGTTGTCCATGTATTTTTGCAATGCTATAGGGAGAAAGGGTGGGATCCTAGACTTCCTTTTGAAGGGGAACTTAACTTTGCTTAATATCACATCCTTCCTTATTTATGCACCTGTGGAATTTTCAGGTAAATTGTCTATGAAGTTAAGTATACAAAAGTAGAATTTAATTTGAGAGTTTGTATGGAAGTTGTTAATGAAAGCATTCTTCCTTAGCATTATTGAGTCAACTTGTTTTGTTCAACCTGTGAATGGAATCCCAGACATATAAAGCAGGTTTCATTACAATATGATTTTTCCTGAACTAAAACCACGTTTACAGTTAGAATTTTATCCACACAATAAACAAATTTCATCTTGCGCCTTTGAATTTTGACCCCCCACTAACCAGTAGAAAATTGATTATTAAAAAAAAAATTCTACTTGTGTGTACCCACCATAAGAGTGTAGGCCAAACACTTCTTGTTAGCCCCAGGGAATTCTCATAAATGGTAAACTGTCTAAAGCAGAGGAAACCGTGAAACAATTTTCCGGTCAGGAAAACCCTTCTAAAAGTTACGGTATCTACAGCTCATGATACATTAGTGTGATGGTCAATGGGAAGAATGCTCTTTATATTTTTGGTCATTGGGAAGAATTACAGATAGCTATAAAATCAATGGTGTCAGTTGGAACTTATCTAAGAGGCAGAAAATTGCTCATTGGTCTAGGAACCCCTAGCAACCTCTGGTTGAGAGACTACAGTCTAAAGAGTGTAGAGCAAACGCATCCTCCATGATAGCCAGTGAAGCCATCCAACACACTTGGTGGCCAATAGGAAGTGTGGTGGTTGAGGAGGTACCAGGGACATATCATGGGACCCCCTACTGACCTCTGGCAGTGCCCGAATGGTCATTCCGCCCCTGTTGTGGACAGACATACTCGCCAGACATAATCGCACCTCCAAGAGCCAAAAAACCCAAAATATTTCACAATAGAGCTGAATCTACAATTATACATTATCTGTTCATTATTTGTACCATAATTCATAACATTTTGGAGGACTTCCTCAATACCATCACCAAAGTGATGCTTTACTAAAGTTTTGAATGGATGGGAGTGCCACACCAGTGTAGTCCTTGGAAAGATTTGGATGTAAAATAAAATCTTTCAAAGGACTACAGAAGCTGGTGTGGCACTCCCATCCTTTCAACACTTTAGTAAACTCCTTTTGGGGTACAGCAAGACCCCACTGTTACTGGTGAGCAGCCTTTAGGACCACAGACCACTTATGATGTTATAACAAATTGCAAGTGATGCTTTATAACAGAGGTCTGACACTGCACAAGAGGCAATGAAAGCAAAAAGAAAAGGAAAACAAGGCAAAAAGAGAGGAAAGAATGAACTTACCAGGAAGAAAGAAAGGAACTTTTTATATATTTCAACTATTCTATGATTTTGTCATCATGTTTCTTATGAAAAAAAAAAAATCTAGCATACTTTTTACAGCAAGTTTCTTTTTTCTGATGGGCCTTTTAGAACTATTGAGCCAGAAGCCCTAAAACAGGGAAACATGAGCTCTTTGGGGTTCACCAGCAAAGAACAGAGAAACTTGGGACTACTCGTGCACCTGATGACCAGCAATCCCAAGATTCTTTACTCTCCAGTGGGGACAGAAGTTGACAAAGTTATTCGGAAGGTGGGTATTTTTACTGTTTTCATATGTATATTTGTTTCCTAAAGATTTAGAAAGTTTGAGTTTACTTTTCATGAATCAATACAATATTTTTCTGTACCTGTTTTTTTTAGTATTTCTTTAGTTTTTTTTTAGAATTTTTTTTTTTACAACTTTTGTTGTGTTTTTTGTTGAGATAAAAAAAAACCCACATGTAGGGATTTTTGCATTTTTTTTTATGGTAAAGCAGATCTTACCTTCTTTTGTTCTGTAGCCTTAGGGGTAGCCCTTGTCAGTGTACTTTCTGCAATTTCTTAATCTAAATGGAAAAGTAATGCCTAATAATGTGGAATTGCAGTCATTTGTTTACTTTGTGATAGAATGGGGAAAGGTTAAATGTGTCAGTCTTCTGTTGCTGTATGTATACCTTTCATTTATCCCCCTGTAGTTACTGGGCTGATGACTGTGGGACAGGAAGTGAGGGGAAATCTGAACAGGGGTGCAGATGACCATAAAAACCCAAGCCAACAATGATTCTTAGCCTTGTGCTCTCGATTTGATACTACAGCGGAACTATGCTTCATCTGAGCACCACAAACCAAAAATACTATTTTAATTCATTTTTAATATTCAAATCAAGCCCACCCATCCATGTCTCCATGCTTTATTTTATTGAGAAATCACTTTGCAAAACACCCCCTAGCTTTTCTGGCCGTGGTCATCTTTCCATTCCTGGGATGTATGACATCCTTTTCCTAGGCATTGAAACCAGAGAGTAACTGAAGAAATGAAGTGAAAGAAAAACAGAAGAGATGACCAGAGACTGCGGACATAGTACAGAAGATGACCAGAGACTGCGGACATAGTACAGGAGATGACCAGAGACTGCGGACATAGTACAGGAGATGACCAGAGACTGCGGACATAGTACAGGAGATGACCAGAGACTGTGGACATAGTACAGGAGATGACCAGAGACTGCGGACACAGTACAGGAGATGACCAGACTGCGGACACAGTACAGGAGATGACCAGAGACTGCGGACACAGTACAGGAGATGACCAGAGACTGCGGACAAAGTACAGGAGACGACCAGAGACTGCGGACAAGGTACAGGAGACGACCAGAGACTGCGGACACGGTACAGGAGACGACCAGAGACTGCGGACACGGTACAGGAGACGACCAGAGACTGCGGACACGGTACAGGAGACGACCAGAGACTGCGGACACGGTACAGGAGACGACCAGAGACTGCGGACACGGTACAGGAGACGACCAGAGACTGCGGACACGGTACAGGAGACGACCAGAGACTGCGGACACGGTACAGGAGACGACCAGAGACTGCGGACACGGTACAGGAGACGACCAGAGACTGCGGACACGGTACAGGAGACGACCAGAGACTGCGGACACGGTACAGGAGACGACCAGAGACTGCGGACACGGTACAGAGACGACCAGAGACTGCGGACACGGTACAGGAGACGACCAGAGACTGCGGACACGGTACAGGAGAGGACCAGAGACTGCGGACACACTGTACAGGAGAGGACCAGAGACTGCGGACACGGTACAGGAGAGGACCAGAGACTGCGGACACGGTAGAGGACCAGAGACTGCGGACACGGTAGAGGAGAGGACCAGAGACTGCGGACACGGTACAGGAGAGGACCAGAGACTGCGGACACGGTACAGGAGACGACCAGAGACTGCGGACACGGTACAGGAGACGACCAGAGACTGCGGACACGGTACAGGAGATGACCAGAGACTGCAGAGATAGTACAGGAGATGACCAGAGACTGCAGACCTTTGGGGAACAGAAGCGGGGGGAACAAGTACCCGAATTTGACAGGTACCCGCTCCACTTCCGCGGAGTTGTCCTCCCTCCCCGTCTTCTGAGACACGTGACAGGTCCCAGAAGACTGCCGGACCATTCACAAAGTGCAGCACTTCTCGCACATGCGCAGTGGGCACCCATCTGTGAAGTCGCAAGCCGTCACAGCCGGGTGCCCACACTAAAGATGCCTGCACCAAGGAGAGAAGATGGTGAGGACACAGCTGGACCAAGGAACAGGTAGAACCAAGGAGCAGGTTCTGCTCCACAGAAGAGTTGAGCGGCCGGCCCAGTATTCTAATACGGTGGCAGTGGGAATACCGGGCCGGCCACTCCATATTTGCTCCATGAGACGCACAGACATTTTCCCCCATTTTTTGGGGGGAAAAAAGTGCATTTTATGGAGCGAAAAATACGGTACTTTCCTATCTATTTACTAATGCTAGCAGCATAAGGATTAAAAATAATCAGTGTTGATTGAGAAAGTGAAGTACTGCTTTAAGGAAAAAAAAAAGTCAGGGGTCCCTTTTAATCATGAAATGGCTTGCTTGCCCATTTAAAATATTCTAGCCATTACAGCTTTTAGCTTTAGATTTTCCATTTTCGGGAACAAAAATGTTTTTTCCGATGTTGGCCGCAGTGCTGGGATAATGAAAGTGCCACCTGCTCATCCAAGATATCGCCTTATTACCTGTCATATGATAAAATTTTTTGGTCAGAGTTCAATGACACAATGGTGCAATAATCCAGTTTATGTGACAGTTGTTCATTATTCTGTGATGAGACGGCAGGGTTATAGATTTCTCCAGGTCAAGGATCTGGCTCCAGGGCTGTCACCCAGAACATGTACCCACCCAGTGAAGTGTCAGCCCCACTGCAAGGCACCCATTTGTTCTGGCTTGGCAACTTGCTAAGCAGTGAAAGGAAACCAGCACACAATGAAATCTGCTGCTATGCTTCTTGTAAAAAAAATTTAGCTGCCTGCCTGTCTCTTGTTCTAGTACTTTCTAAATCACTGGACCTGGAACAAGCATGCAGCCAGTGAAGTCTGACTGAAATCAGAACTTTGATCTGCAGGCTTGTTCTAGGAGAATGACTCAAAAAGAATTGAAGCATGATAAAAAGGAACGGTCAGCAATGGCAGCATCCTTATATCTCTCAGTATATATGAGCTACCTGTCAGATCACTGGTCCTCCTTTTTCCATCTAACAGGCAAATGAGACGTTTGCATTTGTGGGCAATGTGACTCAGTATGCCAGGATGTGGATGAACATTTCAGCAGAGATCCGCAGCCTTCTGGAGGACGGTGTGCTGCAACAGCGCATTCAGTGGTTGCAACAGGTGAGCAAAACTACGAAGCTTCTAAGGATCACCTTACTCCATTGGTTTTATCATTGAAATCTTCTCAGACGCTGAAGTGATCTACATTTAAAGTGTAACTACAGGCAAAATAATACAATTACATAAATGTTGCAGTCTGTCACTAGCATCACCAGCTTTTTATTTTTCTGAGTTCCCCCATAGCAATGTTTTATATTACCTTTTTGAGCCTGCCAGTATTTCCACTCTTTTTCCACTTCCTGAAATGGGGTGACAACGTTGTTTGTTTCTTCTGCAGTAAAATCACACACAGCAGTGATGTCACTTTGTAGACTGAGCTGTCTACATGGGCTATAATACACCCCCACCCAATGTTATGGAGAGTGGAAGGTGGTATATAGTCCTAACACACTACCTTTGTAGGGTGACAATGCTGTTCTTCCTAGTTGCAGCATGGTTGTCACCCTAGGACAGGAAATGTGTTCCTGGCAGGATCACCAGGGAGAAAGAAAAAAGTGTGAAAAATTAACAAATTCAGCCATCACATCTAAGGAAAGGTGTGCTGTAATACATTCAGTTTTTGTTCTTGGGTTTAGATACCCTTTAGGCCCCTTTCACACAGGGTGGGCTTTGTTCTGATTATCTGAGAATCCACTCACAGATCCCTTGCTGAGCAGAGCGAGCAGATGACAGGTCTGTGTCTGCTCTGTTTTTGCAGAGTGGACACAAACCGAGTCACATGGTACAAGGCTGTTGTGAATAGCCTTGTACCATGTGACCTCTGTGATCATTGACAGATTTCACAAGTAGTAAGCAATGATGTCAGGAAGTGACATCTTGCTTACTACTATTCATTGGCCAATCCATGATCACATGAATTAGGACTTCACACAGAGGTCCCGTATGGCGATTGGTGTTCGGTGCCACACGCTCCCAGGGAGCTCACACAGGCAGGGAAAGCAGGTGCCATTTATAAACGGCAACCCGCTTCGGCACTGCTCCCGTCCAGCTGTTTATGTACATGGGCTGGACGGGAAGTGGTTAATTATACTTACCTAGGTGGCTGGGTGGTTGCAGCATTGGTCCGATGCTTCATCTGTCCCCCACCTGCTCTAAGTGTGAGAACTCAGCCATCACGTGATCGCTGAGTTCTCACCGCCACTGTGAGCAGAGAGCGGTGACCGTCAGTCACCGCTCTCTGCTCTGCCCTAGACCCCTGCTTGTGCTTAATGGAGCGCTGGGCTGTGGAGGAGAGAGAGCGGCTGGCTCAGGCTCTTAGAGGCTTGCCCGACCATATGGTGACGATCCTTCCCCAGCCTGGACTGGCTCTGTGACGTCAGCTGGAAGTGGGCTTCAGCCTGCTGTCAGCTGAAAACTGGTCACAGAAGTGCAGAACGAACTGCAGTCCTGTGATTCATAGGAGAAGTACAGCCAAAAGAGCTTTGGCTGTCCTTCTCTTTAGGCAGCTACAGCAACAATTTTTAATTTTTTTTTTCATTTAAACAACCAAAATGTTCCTTTATTGAATAAAAAGAATGGCAGTGGTAAAAGGTACATAGATATTTGATGAACTGAAACAAAGACAAGTGATTCAAGTGACTAGAATATAGTATAAGAGCAAAGGTAAATGTATGTAAAGGTACAGTAATATTCCCATGCAACCCAAAAGACAAGTGAGGAGGGATTGCAGCCTCGTCACCAGGATGAGTATCCACAAGAGAGGCACATTTAATGGTCTAGCCACGGCTGCCATACCCCATCAAATTTCATTGGGCAATTCCTGTTAATATACGTCAATTTGTACACTTTTTCCCAGGAGTCTATGAAGATGGGGGACGATGCATTCTAATGAAATATAATTTCATTTTTGGTATAGTAGTAGAAGTAAGAGACCAATAGCTTTGTGTATTGGGGCCTTTTCATCATCCTGAATACCAAGCAATGGCAAGGCTGGCAAGATCAGATGTAGGCGGTGGTTTACAAGCTCAAACACCACCACCCCAAAAGCTGGACACCACTGGACAATCCCAGAACATATGATAAGTGCCCTCGGACCTGTGACATCGAAGACAGTCTGGGGACCTCATGGGAGATGTACAACTTTTGTGGCGTACAATACAATCTGTGTAGGAATTTCATTTGCATCAATTTATCCCTAAAAGGGATCACTAATCTCGAGCTATCCTCAAAACCGTCCTTCCAGGCCTCCCAGAGTGCCTCCATTTTGGGGGAGTCCACACAGAGTAAAGCTGAACAGAGGGAGGAGAGTGGTTTGGAGAGGTAGTCCTGGGCCAGGAGATCCTCAATAGGGTCAGTAGTCAAATAATGGGGCACTGGGAACTGGACTTTAAATGCATGTCGTAGCTGGAAGTACCTGAAGTACATCCATCTAGGGAGTCTAAATTTATGCTGTTGGTCTCTAAAGAAGAGTAGGGATCCCTAGGCAAAGACATCTTGTAGAGTTTTAATACCAAATCAGGCCCAAAGGTGAGAGTCAGTCAGCAGTCTAAAGTGAGGGAGTATGGGATTCCCCCAGAGTGGATGATATGGAGACCAGTGCCTTGGCTGTAGAAAACGTTTCCTAGCAGCAGTCCAGACCCTAAGAGTCGTCCTAGTAGGGTGTGGCAGGTCGGCATAAACCTTAGGACCCCGATAACAGTTTTTAATTCTTAAGGAAAAAATATTTTAAACCATATGAATAAAAAAGGTGTCAATTGTATGTACCCCTATTGTCTGTCCCAACCACTCTAACTGCTGCTTTTGGTTGGTCTGGTAAAAGAAGTTCAAAGATAAGGCATCTACTGGCAGGATCAACAGGTAATAAAAATATAAAAAATATATACTAAACGTATACTTGGTTTGGTAACGCTATTAGCATGCTGCATCATATGTCATTTTTTCTTTTTGTCTGACCTCCAGGCAAACCATGCGAATGAGTATGGGGTACATGGTACCCCTATTCATTTACAAAAAAAAAATTGTAGTGTAAAAAGTGACAATAGACAGTCTTTAACAAGTCCTTTTTAAAAACAAAAATAAAAAAGTGTCCCCTGAAGTAGATCCAACGTCAATCGCAATGCCCGCCATCACCACCAAACCGAAAAATGAGAAAAAATGCTCTGCTCTCGACACTGGTTCCCGCCGTCTGACAGCTGCACCGGGATGATAGTTCTTTAATACTGTGATGATGTCCCTTGTGACGTCATAATGCGCTGTGATCGGAAAAAGCACTGCACCTGACCTACGGTCAGGTGCATTGCTTTGACCAATCACAATGCACTATCAGGTCGCAGTGCATTGTGGAGCGCGGCGGGTGAACAGCCCACCGAACGCCCTTACTGTTCGTGTGTTCGCCGAGCACATGAACGGCCAATGTTTGAGTCGAACTTACATTCAATTCGAACATCAAGCCCGACACTGATTTAGACTGAAGCTCAAGTACAATGCCATTGATAGACAGGTTACCGGGACTGGTACATAATTGATGAGGGTGCCAATACCCCCATCTTATAATAATAGCTGATAGCTATACACACAGTACATTATGTGCATTTGTAAACTTCCTGCAAATGTATTTTTAATTCTGTAGTTTTTGTCAGTCATGCACCCGTCATGCTTCCGGCCAGGATGATAAAACTACTACAGCTGAAGAGGAAGTGAAATCAAATAGCTAAAATTCACAGTTCTATGTTGGAACGGGTTTAGGTCCTGACTCCTAAAAGAATTGTAATCTGTTCAGCCAGTTTTCTGATTCAAACATGTTCATCAGACGGCTTGGCCAAGGACTGTCTTGTGATTGGATTTTAAAGGAGCAGCAGCCTGATAAGGTCTACCCTCTGCTCTCCTTACCTATCCTTTCATGTTTCATGTGTTTTTTTTTTGGAGTCAGAGGAGACTGGTTGTTAAATACCACACCCTGCCAAAAACGTACATACATGCACTTTTCATGAGCTCCAGTTGAAGTCTATGGGACCAAAAACACATTGCACTGTAGCAAAAGAATCATCTGCACCTTTTCAAAATTTGCACTGCTTTATTTTGTATTGATGTGAATGGGTACCATAGAGAATAATGTGATTTCCATTATCACGCATTGTAGCGCGACAGCAGATGCAGGAGAAAAGCAGCAGTTTGAGCAGGGCCTAAATCCTGCTGTGCAGGGAACTAATATAAAGCGAGACTGAAATGTTTAAAAATGCATAAAGGTTTTTTTTAAATAATTAGATAATTGGATTCAAAAGTAAACAATTGTGCATTTTCAGTGAGCACCTGTTTTGAACTAATATTGTCACTGTAATCATTTACCTTTCCATGTGCCTTTCTTATCTTTATACTCTTACTGCTTCATATTTTTATGACTGTATTACATAGACAGATTGGTAGACAGACACATGGACAGCATTCAGGAAAAAGCATTCATTCACCACTCATAAAAATGAAAACTTGCCTTGTAATATAAAGTAAAAACCTATAAAAGAAATATATATATAGTACTGTGCAAAAGACGTTTTAGGCAGGTGTGAAAACATGCTATAAACAATGCTTTCAGTAATAGAAATTTTAATTGTTTTGATCAATTTACAAAATGCAAAGTGAGCAAACAGAAGAAAAATCGAAACCTGTCCTGTAACGTGAAACTGTCTTCCACAACCTCACCTTAGTAGCAGAGTTTGGCTCAGGGGTGGACTGACCATTCGGAAACTCAGGCATCGCCCAAGGGCCCAGGGTCAGTAGGGGGCCCCATGAGATGCCCCTGATACCTTTTTCATAGGCTTTTTTGAGTTTGGGCAAGGACACAGGGGCCCCATGATCCCCTATTGCCCGGGGGCCCCATGAGTTGTCAGTCCACCCCTGCTGGCTGTTCCTCACCCAGTTTCACCCATGTGTTTCAACCTACATATAAAAATTGGTGATCATTAACACCTGCTTGGTCTAATTGGTTAATCATATACCTCACTCTAATCCTTGAAAAATCCTTGACTTTGTGCAAGTGTAAGAATTGATGTTGTTTTGAAGACAAAGGGTGGTCACACCAAATATTGATTTGATTTAAACGTCTCTTCTGTTTTATTTACTTTCTATTTTGTTAATTGATAAAAATAAACTATTAACACTTCTATTTCTGAAAGCTTTCTTAATGTACAGCATTTTTTCACACCTGCCTAAAACGTTTGCACAGTAGTGTGTGTGTGTGTGTATGTATGTATATATATATATATATATATATATATATATATATATATATATATATATATATATATATATATATATATATATATAAAAAATGTGTGTGTATATAATATATACAGTGTGTATGTGCGTGTGTATGTATGTGTGTGTATGTATGTATATGTGTGTGTGTGTGTATGTATGTATATGTGTGTGTATGTATGTATATATGTCTGTGTGTGTATATACAGTATGTGTATGTATATATGTATGGTGCGTATGTGTGTGTGTGTGTATATATATATATATATATATATATTATTATTATTATACAGTATTTATAAAGTGCCAATAGTTCGCTCAGCGCTGTACATTACAAAGGGGGACAGAACATGTGACAGAACAACAACAATACAATGCAAAACATGAGGGGATTGAGGGCCCTGCTCTTTCGAGCTTACAATCTAGGAGGGAGGGGATGGTGGTACAGGAGGAGATAGCTGTGGGGGATGGAGTGGTAGGAAGAGTGGAGGAGGTCGGCAAGTTAGCAGGGGGCGGGGTAGGCTTCCCTGAAGAGATTGGTTTTCAGGGTACGCCTAAAGGAGAGGAGAGTAGGTGATAATCTGATGGGTTGGGGCAGGGAGTTCCAGAGGATGGGTGACACCCTGGAGAAGTCCTGGAGGCGGGCATGGGAGGAGGAGACCAGGGAACTAGAGAGAAGGAGGTCCTGTGAGGAGCGGAGTGTGCGTGTTGGGTGGTACTTGGATATTAGGTCGGTGATGTAGTTCGGGGCAGTATGGTGGACGGCTTTGTACGTCAGTGTTAGGATTTTGAATTTGATCCGTTGCGCAATCAGAAGCCAGTGGAGGGATTGGCAGAGGGGGGTGGCGGAAATGGAGCGGTTAGAAAGGTGAATGAGTCTGGCAGCCGTATTCAGGATCGACTGAAGCGGGGATAGCCAGCGGCGAGGCAGGCCAGTGAGGAGGGAGTTGCAGTAGTCGAGTCGTGATATGATGAGGGAGTGGATAAGCTGTTTAGTGGTTTCTGGAATTAGGAACGTGCGTATTTTGGCGATGTTGCGGAGGTGGAGTCTGCACGAGTTTGTTAAAGATTGGACTTGGGGCTGGAAGGATAGGTTGGAGTCCAGAATGACACCAAGTACTCTGGTGTGTGTATGTATGTATATATGTATGTATGTATATATATATGTATGTATGTGTGTATGTATGTGTGTATGTATATATATATATATATATATATATATATAGTACGCCCCTTGAGGGTTAGGGACTGATGTGAATGTACAATATATATGTAAAAGCGCTGAGTAAATTGACAGCGCTATATAAGTACCTGAAATAAATAAATATATATAAAAAGAGAATAAATTATTATGAGCTCAAGGCCAGTTGTGTCTGGTGGTACACATAGATAATGGATTATTACCTGGTCTAATTGCTGTCCTTTTGTGTTTTTGGGTACCTTTACTTTTTTATTTTCTTATCCATTTGGCTTATCCTGTACTTGTTTTTATCTCAGCAGTCGGTAACAACGCTTGCCGATTCACTGAGCCACAAACAGGTAAAAATGAAAAAAATTACATGTAGAAATAACTTCCAATCAAATCCTCAGCAATGAGAGGAAATAGATACTCAATGAAAGTTAAAGTGCGGTTTCCTTTTCAATCTGAATTGCAGACTGAATTGCATCTGCTAATTCACATGTTAACAGATATGACTGAACTCCACTTCAATGTTATAAAAAGAAGATGATAAGTTAACAAGAATGGACAGGCAGGTAAAATCATTTCCTGTATGAGGACATTTCAGGTTGGGTTGGATGTCCCTAGCCAATGTCTCAGACACGTTTTACAGAAACCCTGGCACTCGTCCCTTGTCTCTTGTCACTTTCATTCTCACACTGTCTGATTCAATTTATCAGTTTACCAGCGATCTGCAGAAACACCCCGAGCTCCTAAATGGCTCTGACAGCGAGCTTCTCCGCCGCATTCTCAGCTCCAACTTCACTGCTCTCAACACCAGCACCTTGCTGCAGCAGCTGGACACCATCGACAACGCGGCATGTGGATGGACACACGTTTCATGTCCAAGGTAATACCATGACTCCTGGACACCATTTTGCAAATTCTGCAGCTTGTCTTAAATACTAACATTTTCTTTCTTTTGTTTTTAGGTGAGTGTGGACATCTTTAAAGGTTTCCCCAATGAGGACAGCATAGTGAACTACACCCTGAACCAAGCGTACCAAGACAATGTCACTGTGTTTGCAAGTGAGTTTCCCAAATAAATGCCATTCCAGCAGAACTGCAGCCAAATTGCTTAACATACTTAGGGCATGTTCACATACTGATATTCCCTGAATAGTGATCTGTGGTGGATCGCTGTTCAGAGGGCATTTGACAAGCAAGCAGTGAGGAGGTCCCTCCCACAGCTCTGCTCTCTGCACAGGCTATGCACACTGTTACTTTTATATGATAATATCTGGGTTTCAAATGGGTTTGGTGCACATAAAGTGGATATACAGCATATCCTTTGTGGCTATTGAGGGATGCGCCTGGAGTTCATATTTTAGTCCTGTTGTATATTCCAAAACACAGCTAGATTAAATATCAAAATATGTCCAGCTTTACAAAGACATACTGGTAGGGTAATTGGATCCTGTCTAAAGTGGCCCTAGTGTATGTATGAAATGTAAGTTAGGGACCTTAGATTGTACGTCCCTTGAGGGTCACTGATGTGAATGTACAATATATATGTAAAGCGCTGCTTAAATTGACGGCGATATATAAATACATATAATACATAAATAAATAATTTTCCATTGAGGGATACAGGACAGTAGGAATTCCTGGATATACAAGTTTGTACTGCCACCTACAGGAGGTTTGGACCATGGCAAGCCAAAATTTTAAAAGAAAAAGTTCAGGTTTAAAATACAAAAATATGCAATGATTTTGCAGGAAAAAAAAATGCATTTATTATTATATTTTTTTTTACAGGAGCCTGCAAAGCATTGCACCCACAATCTGTGGATGGAGGGTGCAATGTCAGGCTCCTGCAGACAATGCATACAGCTCTGATGGGCTTTCAGTTATTGAGGTGGAGGAAGTGTCAATGGAGTACAAACGTGCAGATCAGTCTGTGTGCCGTGGTGGCAGACAGAACTTGTAGTTTATTAATTCATAGATCCTTGTGAAGGAATGACGTGACTGTGCATGTGCAGTCCCACACAGCCATATGGATTTGAAATGTGACAGCGTCTGCAGGGGAGGGGAAACCCATCTGCCATCATGGGGGTGGATGCTTTGCAGGCTCCTGTTAAAAAAAAATTATAATGATCAATGCTTATTTTTTTTCCTGCAAAATCATTTGCATGTATTTGTTTTTTTAAACCTGAACTTACCCTCTAAAATTTTGGTTTGCCATGATCCAAACCTCCTGTAGGTGGCAGTACAAACTTATATCCAAGAATTCCTACTATCCTGTGCTGTGCTGGAAAGGGCATAACATGTTCGAAAAGGTGAACTTAGCCCCCCCTCCTGCCTATCCTGTGTAACCTGTATAAAAAAAGATTTGTAAACTTACTTATTTTCAATCCACTCTAGTCTGGCCACAGGATCCTGCAGCTACGGGTCAGAGAGCACTCGACAGTGGCTGGGATCTCCAGCAACTATGATGTCACCCATAGGTTCCCATAGCCCAGTCATTGTCGGTGCTCCCTCCTCTCCCCTGCAGCAGCTGCTCACTGAAACAAGGGAGTTGGAGCTACAGGATCAAGTGACTGGACCAGAGCAGATTAAAATAAATAAATACACAAATCTTTTTTTTTTTTTTTGTACAGGATTTAAAGGATAAGTGGGGACATTTGTAAAATGGTTAGACTTTTTTTTTTAGGCTTTTCATTTCTTTTCTACCTTAAAGCTTCATGTACACAGGACGTAAAAAAAAAAAAAAAAAAAAAAAAAAAAAAAAGTCCTAGCAGCCTTCCTCCTAGAAGCAGCGTTTTTGCAGAACAAACGTCTGACACTTGTAAACTCGTTAGATATTTTTACAAGTGTTTAGGCACGTTTGCAAGCATCAAGCACTTGGGTGTTAATTCATTTAATTGGCCATAATAATAATAGTATTCTTGCATGAACATGCATTTAGACGCGTTTACATGCACCAAACCGTACTCTCTGCTCCTCGCAAGACCTCCTACTCTCTAGCTCTCTTGTCTCCTCCTCTCATGCCCGTCTCCAGGATTTCTCAAGGGCTTCACCCATCCTCTGGAACTCCCTACCCCAATCTATCAGGCTATCACCTACTCTATCTACCTACTTTAGGCGCACTCTGAAAACCCATCTCTTCAGGGAAGCCTACCCCGACCCCAACTAATACTGGAATCCTCTACTCTTCCTACCACTCCATCCCCCACAGCTAATTACCTCTTGTACCACTAGCCCCTCTCTCCTAGATTGTAAGCTCCAAGGAGCAGGGCCCTCTAATCCCTCTTGTATTGAACTGTATTGTTACTGTACTGTCTCCCTCCATAATGTAAAGTGCTGAGCAAACTGTCGGCGCTGTCCTGTATAATAATCAAGCGGGTTTTTTTTGCCTGTAAGCTTTTTTGGCTGTACTTCTCCTGTGGATCCCAGGAGTATAGTTTGTTCTGCACTGCTGTGACCCGTTTTCAGCTGACAGCAGACTGAAGTCCACTGTCGGCTGACGTCACTCAGCTGGTCCAGGCTGGGGAAGGATTCCGACTTCAAAGCCGGGATCCATCTCAGAGTGGAGCGGCACCTGGCTCATCCTCTCAGTGAAGTGCTGAGAGCCTGATCCAGCCACTCCTTTCCCCTTCACAGTCCTGCGAGGGGAGTGCTGAGCAGACAGCGGTGATTGACAATGCCGCTCTCAGCTCACAGCGGCAGTGAGAACTCAGTGATCAGTGATCATGTGATTGCTGAGTTCTTACCCTTAGAGCCAGCAGGGGACAGATGCAGCATTGGACCGATGCTGCTTCCACCTAGGTAAATATAAATGGGGGGAAAAAAAACCATACTTCTCTCTTTAAATCAAAACCTCAAACTTGCTGCTTGAGCTACAGTAGTCTCTTCACAGTAGTTATCTGGATCAGCTCAGTGATGCCTTGAAGGCTGTACCTGGACCCTGCTGAACCAAAGTTTGTGGGGATAGCCTGGAAGGTGACCTTCAGCATTCCGCTTGACTTGTGGTACTTTGCAGACCTTACTGTACTGTTAGCTACCGAGCGCCCTCCAGTTTCAGAGCCATTGCACAGCGTCTGATGTGACCCGTTCTCAAAAGACTCACTCTGTGAGTGGGCCCTTGAAAAGGATGAAAGTGATACCGTTTGAATTCTTCAGGCACCCAACTCTGTATTGTAGAGAATTCCAGGCCTGTAGGTACTGTCAGTCAACCGAAGAACACTTTTCCAGTTTCAGATCAAAGGTACAGCCTATGAAATAACATTTTATGTCACGTTTGGACATAGAGATCTGCATTCTGGATCCTTCTGCGCTTGTATACTGTGTCAATCTGCCATCTTTTCCAAAGCCTAGGCACAACTTTTTGTTTGACCTGACTTATGAAATCCCACTTTGTGGGTTTAGCCTTTGGGCTCTCTAATGTGGGAAATACCTCTCAAATGTTCTGCCCTTGCAAAACACTAACACTACCCCAAACCTGAGAGATCTTCATGTGAAGTTAGTTGGAAAGCTGAAGTGTCAGTCTCCTGGGTCCTTTTCTTGACCTCACGTCACTGCAGAATCCTATAATGACATAGACAAAAGGTCAGCAGGAGGAACCAGTGAGATACACTTATGGTCACACTTGAAGTTGTGGTTAAGGAACCAGCTAGAGCTGTGAAGGAACTAGGAGATTGATGCTTCCAGAAGTGTTGGTTCTGCAGTAGACTTCACATGAAGCCTTCACAGATTCCATGTGTCATTCGGCGGTGTGGGCAGCAGGAAAGATCAGTATTTGAGTTTTTTTATAGGTATGACTTGCTTCACTTATGTTTGCATAGCAACAGGGTTGATTTAAGATGTCACAATCCTAATGTTTTACATTTATTTTACAGGCGTGGTATTCCAAACTAAACTGGATGGCTCTCTCCCTCCTCATGTCATGTACAAGATCCGTCAAAACTCCAGCTTTACGGAAAAGACGAACGAAATTCGTCGGGCCTACTGGAGGCCAGGGCCCAATACTGGGGGGAGATTCTACTTCCTGTATGGTTTTGTCTGGATCCAAGGTCATTATTGCACATTCATTGACTTATGTATTTTCTGCTGTACTGAAAATATTAGTTCTTAGTAGCTAGTAGCTTAAAATATTGATTTTTAAAGTGTGACTGTTTTTTCTGGTACATTTCAAACAGCAAAGTAGAATAATGGAATTACCTATGATGGGAATGTTAATAGCCTATGTTTCCTTAAAATGTATATGATGCCTACATATTTTGTTCTAGTTTTGGATATGTATGTGTTAGGAGGTATGGAATGTCTGTGTCCCATGGGGGAGATTTCCCTTTACGTCCTGTCCAAGAGACACAGCCAGAAGCTAGGAAATCTTTCCAAAGCTGGAGATATCCCCTAAAAGACAGATGTCACCAGAACAGGTTTACCCATTGGAAGATTTTTTTTTTCTCCTGTTACTGTCACACTTATTTCCCATAATGTTTTGTACCGGAGACAATGGTCATCAGGGCCAATAGAGAGGGGGAATCTCCCCAACAGGGATACAGCCAATACATTCTATACCAGGGGTGGGCAAACTTTTTGACTTGAGGGCCGCAATGGGTTCATATATTGGACCCGGGGGCCGGACCAAGAGTAGATGAATGATGTGTATGTGTGAATTAATATAAATTAAATTAAAATTTGTAACATTAAATGTTTAGATTAATTTAAACACTACCATGCCATTCATAGTAAGTATAGTAATATTCCCCCATAGTAAGCATAGTAATTAATCCCCCATATAGTAATTCATCCCCCCATAGTAATTCATCCCCCATATAGTAATTCATCCCCCATATAGTAATTCATCCCCCATAGTAATTCATCCCCCATATAGTAATTCATCCCCCCTATAGTAATTCATCCCCCCTATAGTAATTTATTCCCCATATTAATTCATCCCCCATATTAATTCATCCCTCATATAGTATTTCATCCCCCATAGTAATTCATCCCCCATAGTAATTCATCCCCCATATAGTAATTCATTCCCCATATTAATTCATCCCCCATATTAATTCATCCCTCATATAGTATTTCATCCCCCATAGTAATTCATCCCCCATAGTAATTCATCCCCCATAGTAATTAATCCCCCATATAGTAATTCATCCCCCCTATAGTAATTCATCCCCCCTATAGTAATTAATTCCCCATATTAATTCATCCCCCATATTAATTCATCTCTCATATAGTATTTCATCCCCCATAGTACTATTCCCCCCCAAGTAGTAAGCCAAGTCCCCTCTGTGTCAATTTGCTAACCTTTTCTCCGCACGTTCCTCTCGCCGAGTTCCCGCGCCGTTTCGGTCTTCAGGGTGGACTGTGAGAGGAGCCTAGCTCCCCTCACGTTCATCACGCTACCCCGCCCCCCCTATACACATGCCCCGCCTACACACGCTCCGCGGGCCGGATTAAAAGGTCCGCTGGGCCGTAGTTTGCCCATTGCTGTTCTATACCAAACCAAAAAAAGTTTTGGCTCTACATTCACTTGTATGAGTAAGTAGCCATTTTACCAAACTGGAAGCCTTCAATTGTTAGCAATCTATAGACACAGCATGTTTGCAAAATATTATCCCTTAATGAATGTCAGAGCATATAGGTTAATATTATAGCTTCCCAAGGCATGAATGACAGAGCACAATGAATGTCAGAGCACATACAGTGGGGATCGAAAGTTTGGGCACCCCAGCTAAAAGTTTGTATTAATGTGCATAAAGAAGCCAAGTAAAGATGGAAAAATCTCCAAAATGCATCAAATTACAGATTAGACATTCTTATAATATGTCAACAAAAGTTAGATTTTATTTCATCATTTACACTTTCAAAATAACAGAAAACAAAAAAAATGGCGTCTGCAAAAGTTTGGGCACCCTGCAGAGTTAATATCTTGTACTGCCCCCTTTGGCAAGTATAACAGCTTGTAAACGCTTTTTGTAGCCAGCCAAGAGTCTTTCAATTCTTGTTTGAGGTATCTTTGCCCATTCTTCCTTACAAAGGTCTTCCAGTTCTTTGAGATTTGTGGGCTGTCTGTCACAGACTGCTCTTTTAAGGTCTATCCATAGATTTTCAATTATGTTGAGGTCAGAAGATTGTGAAGGCCATGGCAAAACCTTCTGTTTACAACTCTTGATGTAATCCCCCGTGGATTTCGAGGTGTGTTTAGGATCATTATCCATTTGTAGAAGCCATCCTCTCTTTAACTTCAACTTTTTCACAGATGGCATCAAGTTACCATTCAAAATTTGCTGAAATTTTATTGAATCCATTTTTCCTTCTACTCGTGAGATGTTCCCTGTGCCACTGGCTGCAACACAACCCCAAAGCATGATTGATCCAACCCCATGCTTAACAGTTGGACAGAGGTTCTTTTTTCATTAAATTCTGTGCCCCTTCTTCTCCAAACGTACCTTTGCTCATTCCAGCCAAAAAGTTCAATTTTAACCTCATCGGTCCACAGAACTTGTTTCCAAAATGCATCAGGCTATATGTTCATTTGCAAAGTTCAAACGATGATTTTTGTGTTGAGGACGTAGGTCTCAGCTTTGTAAAGGGGGCAGTGCATGCTATAAATTCTGCAGGGTGCCCAAACTTTTGCAGACGCCATTTTTTTTGTTTTCTGTTATTTTGAAAGTGTAAATGATAGAAATAAAATCTAACTTTTGTTGACATATTATAAGAATGTCTAATCTGTAATTTGATGCCTTTTGGAGATTTTTCCATCTTTCCTTGGCTTCTTTATGCACATTAATACAAATTTTTAGCTGGGGCGCCCAAGCTTTCGATCCCCACTGTAGGTTAATATTCTAAGTTCCCAAGGCATTTCTATGTATGAGACCTCAGATTACGAGTTTGGCGATATTTAAAAACAAGTAACTTCCTATACCCATTCCCTTTGCAGATATGATGGAGAGGGCGATAATCAATACCATTGTGGGTCGCGATGTGGTAGAACCTGGGAATTATGTCCAGATGTTTCCTTATCCATGTTACACACGTGATGAGTAAGTGACTCAATGCATGTCAATGTTTTATGAGGGCTCAATACAAACATTGCATTGTGAATGGACCGTGAGTCTCTGATCTGTAACAAGCCAATGCAGATGAGGTATTCCAGCACCTGATATTCACATGCTTATTCCAGATCACTGGCTCACCAGTTAGTGGGGGAAGGATAAAGGTGACAACTGTGGAGTCCTGACAGGTGTCTTTCAATCAGGGAGTTTGGCTGAGGTCATATGCAGAGCTCTTTCTAGCGGTTAATTTGTAGATATTTATATTAAGTAGATCTTTATGCCGATCAGCCAAAACATTATGACCACTGACAGGTAACATCAATTATTTGGTTACAATGGCACCTGAAATTCAGCGGGATATATTAGGCAGCAAATGAACATGTTGTCCCTGAAGTTGATATGTTGGAAGCATAACAAATGGGAAAGCATAAGGATTTGAATGACTTAGAAAAGGGCCAAATGTAATGGCTAGACGACTGGGTCAGAGCAGCTCCAAAACTGTAGCTCTTGTGGGATGTTCCCAGTCTGCAGTATTCCGGACCTACCAAAAGTGGTGCAAGGAAGGAAAACCCACCAAAACAGTGAAAGGGTTATAGGTGGTCCAGTCTCATTGATGCATGTGGGGAGTGAAGGCTGGCCTGTGTAGTCAGATATAATAGAAGAGCTACTGTAGCTTATTTGCTGAAAAAGTTAAAGCTTGTTATAATAGACAAGTGTCAGAACATACAGTTCAGTGCAGTTTGTTGTATATGATGCTGCATAGCCGCAGAGAAGTCAGGTTGTTCATGCTGACCCATGTCCACAGCCAAAAGCCCCTACAATTAGCACTTGAGCATCTAAAATGAACTATGGAGCAATGATGAAAGAAGGCGATCTGGTCTGGTGAATCATGTTTTTTTTTTCTTTTACATCATGTGGATGGTTGGGTACATGTGGTTGCTTACCTGGAAAGAGGGTGTACTATGGGAATAAGCCATGGGGGTGGAGGCAGGGTGATGCTTTGTCTAGTGGAGTCCATGCCTTGGTGGATCAGGGCTGTTGTGGCAGCAAAGGGGGAACTACTCAAAATTAGGTGGGTGGTCATAGTGTTATGGCTGACCAGTGTATATTTCCTTTTTCCAAGTCTGTACAAAGCTAAAAAAAAAACATTAGCCTGGATTTGGGCTTCAAAGTAAAAATTGGTTACTCTTTGAACTCTTTTCAGTATTGCTCTTTCATACTTTTGTTAACATGATAAAGTAGAACTAAAAGCAAATCTTTAAAATTTGTCTTTTTCATTTTGGGTAGAGTAGGGGAGGGTATAACCCCTGTCAGTTTTTTGTTTTTGCCATCTGTGTCCCATTGGAGAGATTTACCTTCACTTCCTGTCCCACGTAGCAAGACAGCAATTTTGATCCATGCATGGACAGACTGGTTGCACAGAAATTGATCTACTGGTAGACTTTTATATAACTGTGCTGTCAGATTTTTGTCGGCATGCTGAACAGTATGTTCTGAAGGCAGGGAAGTGTTCCCGCTGTCAGAATGCAGAGGCACAGCAGGAGGATTCCCCCATCCGCCACAAATGTGTGGATGGGGGAATTAAGACTTATTTTTTCTTCATTCAACCTGCTGGTTGAATGAAAAATTATTTGGCAGCTTTATAAATATTGTTGGCTCTAAGCTGGCCAGTTGGAGGATCCACATTTTTGGCACAGTCTCATTCAGATGCCTCAAGCGCCTCCTCCTGCTTATCATTCCCATTTTGCAGTAAATTGGGTCTGATCTTACTGGTAGTTATACACCTATGACATGGAATTTCATTGTTGGCTATACCTTCAATGCAAGTAGGAGTGGTTCCTCAAGCATATAGCTTCAGAATAATAATACAATTTTAAATATCGTCACAGCTTCCTGTTTGTGATTGAACACATGATGCCGCTGTGTATGGTCATCTCTTGGGTGTACTCGGTGGCGATGATGATCCAGCACATTGTGGCAGAGAAGGAACATCGCCTGAAGGAAGTAAGTTATCGGAAAATGTGCCAAGAATTTTACATAATCTCACATAATTTATTGTTATACTTCCTTTGTGGTGTCTACCATATAGCCAACAAGTGTGATAACTGAGTTTTAGTGGTGTGCAGTAACCCCCTAAAAAAACCCAATCAGAACTTAATTGTTCTGATGTCTGTTAGTAGAGGTGATGTTAAGGCAAGCTTTGAAACCTAACACTCTGGCTGAAATATTTTTCAACCTTCATAGAAAATCATACTGTAAGATTGGGAGTCCATAATGAAAATTTAGACTTTTATTCAGTGTTGATGGCTGCTTTAAAAGTATTGCAACTTGATTGTCTTTCTCTTGTTCTGCTTCCAGGTGATGAAGATGATGGGGCTGAATAATGCCGTTCACTGGGTGGCATGGTTCATTACAGGCTTTGTCCAGCTCTCTATATCCGTAACAGCTCTGACTGGCATCTTGAAGTATGGCCAAGTTCTCAAACACAGCAATGTCTTTATCATCTGGCTCTTCCTCTCCATCTACGCTGTTGCTACCATCATGTTTTGGTGAGGAAATGTCATGCAAGTATTGACTTCATGATAAGGAGATGTGCATTAACGCTAAAGGAAATACACTTTAAGGACTATCCTTATCCTTTTAAACAGCTGTACCTTTTATCAAAACTAGGGCTAACCCACCCTGTTAAACTGATCTACACTAAATGCCCCCCCAATAGCCCAGCTGCTTACATAGCTCAGTAGCCCAGCCTTGGCCTACTTCAATGTTTAACCCTGTACGTGGTGGCTGCTCCTGTATAGCGAACAGGGCTGAGCTTCATACCTCTTCAGTCTTACACAGCAGGAGGGAACACCCAAAACATCCAGGTGAGAAGGAACAGAATTAGAAATTATAGGAGGGTGATCTCATTGTTGGACACATAACAAGGCAGGAGTTGGTTCAACCCATCAGGCTCCACCTATGCTTAAAATATCACTTTTGGGTAGACTGAGACTAATGAGGGTAAAAACAGATATTCATTTCTTCATAAACTATAGGCAGAGCCTGATGGTATCAACTGTGGATGTAGCTTACAGCAAACGCCCAACACTACAGCATACACAGGCCCCATATCCCATCCAGACAGTGTGGTGACCCTATATTTTTACCCTCTGTGCATCTGCTGTGCTGAAATACATGCCAATCAGCAACTACAGATGCTTATCTGTTTCTAAGGCTCCAGACATAAACAGTTCTCTAACTTCCCACATGGCCATATATTGAGATGCTACATGGCCACATATGGAGATAATGTATTAAAAATAGAGTTTGATTTAATTGTGCAGTAATATCAGGTTCGTCTGGACAATGGCGCCACTTATTGTGGTAGCAAGGTTGTCTATGGCTGATTTCTCCCTGTTTAGTTGCATAATTATTTCAATAAATTCATTGGTCTGATCTTGGATAAAACAGGAGGTGAACTAATTTGAAAAAAAACCTATTTAAAGTTGCCAATCGAACACATTGCAAAATATGTTTTATATGATCTAGCTTGATGCACACAATATGGCTTGGGTACTGCTAGACACTCATCATAACTTTTGATTTTTGCAGTTTCCTGGTATCTGTTTTGTACTCCAAAGCAAAGCTGGCATCTGCCTGTGGTGGAATCATCTACTTCCTCAGCTACGTCCCCTATATGTATGTGGCCATCAGAGAGGAAGTGGCCCATGATAAGATTACAGCCTTTGAAAAGTGCATTGCTGTGAGTAATTCCTATTCTGCCCATCATTTACTTCTTTGTCCTGATATTGAATTCAGTGTGCCACCATTCTACAATATCAAAGAGCAATGTACAAAACATGCTTGCTGAAGTGGAACAACTAATTTTTAATTTGGATAGAGTGGGGAAGGCTAGAGCCGCTGCTTGGTTTTATTGGTATATGTGACAATGGCTAAACTTGCCCCACTCTATCTAAAACTAACAACAAAATGGCCTGGTGTTTGGCTTTAACATATTGGGCTTCCTCTACTAAAACAAGCCTAATTTCTGTCTGAAAATAAGTTAATTTTACCGAGATATTCAAGAAATGGAAGGGAAAATAATATATTTCAGCCTCTGTTGGCCTTTCTTGCTGCTTCTTTCCCCATTGGAGGGATTTCTCTGCACTTCCTGTCAGAAAGGATGTGATGGGAAATCTCTCAAATGGTGACATGAACAAATACACATTTTCAGAACAGTGGGGAAGGGTTACAATTCCTGACAATGTCTTTATTGCTTGCCATGCCTTGCAGCCTTAGTGCCTGTCAGACCTCTCATTTGCTGTACAGCTGTCTCCCCAGTTGGGTCACACACAAAAAAAAAACTGGACAGCTATATTAAAGTCAGCTGAACCCTTTACAACTTAATGTAATGCAGCCGGGATGCATATTCTGCAATAAATCTCATCTTCTTTTACTCTTTATTTAATTTGTAAGTTCTGCGGGAAGGATTAAAATACCCTGGGCAGCCCAGCTTCCTTTAGAAATGGGAAAACGATTTGGGTCTCACGTTTACCCCAGAAGAACAAGAAAAAATTATCTCCATGTCGTTCAAGTCTTTTATTAGTAATTGGTACCAAGAATCGGGGTACAAGATTGTCACCCGCTGGTACCGCACCCCAATGGTAATTCATAAAATATATCAATCTGTCCCAGATCTTTCATGGCTCTGTGGACAGCGCAGAGTGGCACACTACTCCATATTTTTGGGAATTGCCCTGCCTTGGGCTCCTTTTTGTCTCAAGTCCACACTATTACTCAATCTTTCACAGATGTACCTATTAGTAAATCATCAGCATTTTATCTCTTACATCACAACTCCTTCCCGATAAAGACTTTGTTCATCAGTTTTTCAACATCTGATAAACGATGCCTTTTCCTGTATATGGGGCATTACGGAAGTCCCCCTCTCCTCCAACCATTCAACAATGGATTAGATGAGTGGAAGACATGAGGATCATGGAAAACCTTACTGCTTCTCTGAAAAACACGGTCTAAATTTAAAATCACCTGGTTCTATTGACTGCACTTTATTTGTAAGGATGACTTTAAACAACTGATGTCCTGGAATGCCAGGTTCACATGATGACGTCTCACGACTACCCTGGGGTGTTCTTCTTTACATTGCAAGGGTTTTGGTCTGCTGTCAGCTGCACCCCAACCTACCCTTTTACCCTACTGTCTGGTGTGTTATCATACCTTGTGCTTTGGTTAATCTTTCTACTGGCTTTGTATTTCCTGTTTATGCATACATAAAACCTAATAAATACAGAATGCATAAACAAAAACAAAAGGAAAAAGAAAAGTGGGATTTTACCAGCGCTGATGCCTTCCCTCGGAACAGATCAGACAAATACATTTAGTGTAAAAACATCACATTTTATTACATAGTACCATTTAAAAATTATCGGGGTAACAGTTCTCCTAAAGAAAACACACAATATGAGTTAAAACAGACAATTTGTGTGCTATTCAACCACCCTTGAGAAGCACCTCTCCTCCTCTAATATAATTTTAAATAACACATAGGATGTTGGGGGAAAAAAAAAAATATAAATATATATATATATATATATATATATATATTTTTTTTTTTTTTTTTTTTTTTATTTCAAGTACTTGTATAGCGCTGTCAATTTACGCAGCGGTTTTCATATATATATATATTGTACATTCACATCAGTCCCTTACCCTCAAGGGGCGTAAAATCTAAGGTCCCTAACTCACATTCATACATACACATATGAGGGCCAATTTAGACAAGAGCCAAATCACCTACCAGCATGTCTTTGGAGTGTGGGAGGAAACCAGAGTACCCAGAGGAAACCCACAAAGACACAGGGAAAACATGCAAACTCCAGGTTGGGATACGAACCAGCGACCCTTGTACTGCCAGGCGAACGTTTTAGCCACTGTGCTGCCCACAGCCACTGTGCTGCCCACTATATATATATATATATATATATTTATATATATTATAATATAAAAAAAGGGATGCAGAAACCCGAAGCGTTTCGCACTCTAGCTTTTTCGGGGGCTCAAGGGGTGCAATCAGGAATGGCTACTAAAAACAAAATAACAATATATAACACATGACCTACAATGTAAAGCACAAATCATGCAGTATATGTGGTACATATAAATAGTCAACTTTCAAGATTGAATCCTACTTGGGCTCTCAAAAAAAAAAAGGGGGGGGGGGGACTTAATCAAATCCGGCAAAAGAATCTCAGAGTCTGGTAATGAGTGTGGAGAGCACTAGAAGGAACAGAATTAGGAATGGCATCCAAGAAACCGATCCAAGGATCCCAGGAACAATGCATGGGGAAGGGGATAGCGTTCAGACATAAAGATTATACACAATCTATAAAGGATAGGAATATAAAGTGTAAGGACAACAGAGAAAAATACTTGGTAACATGACAGCGTATAGTTCGTATGCGACTCCACAGCAGGCCACATATAAAGAGAAAATATAAACTATTTATGTGAATACAAACATCCTGCAGGTTTGCCCCAAAAACCTCGGTGCCAAAGAGGGTTTCATATATGTTCATTGATCATACCTAAATATAGAGATCAAACAGGACCCCATCAGAAATATCCTTACATATGTATATAACCAACCAATCCCTATAACCTAAAAAGATGCCAGAATAAACGCAAAGTAGAATGCATTAAAAAAAAATACCCTGTGCTGCAGCAATCTGGAGAGTCGGACACAAGCACTTTTATGCCTGGCTCTTCCGAATTCTGACAACCTCCCCTTTTCTAAACTGTGCATCAATCAACAGGTTTTTTTATGCTACTTGGGCATTACTGTTAATTAGTGTAATATTTTGGGGGGAAAGGGCATGTCTGATCGCAGAAGAACTGGGTTGTTGCTTTATATGACAGAATTGCTGTCCGACTCTCCAGATTGCTGCAGCACTTACAAATAAAAGAATAATCTAAGTCTTTTTTTACTGCATATGCAGTCCAGATGCATTAACCTAATGAATTGTTAGGCTTCTATCCGAAACTAGAGTTAGACATTGCAGCATGCGCTTGACCACCTATTTCAGATTATATGCTGAATCTCTGTGAGGGCAGGAAAGGATTTTGCACTGGAGACCCAGTGATACACAGATGAGAATGTACAGATTCACATACAGCTGAATTTTGCTGATGCTGACCTGGTCATTGGTACTTCTTCTCTAAAAACGCTCCACTCCTAGGTAAAACTATCCTGCTTATAGGTGACACTTGGCAAAAGGCTGTGATGATATTGGATACATGGACTGAAGATAGGGAAATTGGTTCTTCCGCAGTCTGCTAAAGCCTTTAAATGTTTTTTCCTACACAGTCTCTCATGTCTACAACAGCCTTTGGTCTCGGCTCAAAGTACTTTGCGCTCTATGAGGTGGCTGGAGTTGGCATACAGTGGAAAACCCTCAGTCAGTCCCCGGTGGAAGGAGATGACTTCAACCTTATGTTGTCTATGATGATGCTTATTATAGATGCAGTGGTGTATGGAGTTCTGACCTGGTATATTGAAGCTGTTCATCCAGGTAAACATCGAGCTTGTTGTCAAGTATCCTACCTGGGTCACATGTTTTTTAGTGTCATTTTACTCGTGAGCAAGGTAGAACTAACTAAAATGGATTTTTAATATGGCAAAGAACCTCTAAAAAGCATGTTTCTACTCTGACATACACTCACCGGCCTTTTATTAGGTACACCTGTTCAATTGCTTGGTAACATCAGCCAATCACATTGCAGCAACTCAATATATTTAGGCATCTAATCATAGTGAAGATGACTTACTGAAGTTCGAACTGAGCATCAGAATGGGGAAGAAAGGGGATTTAAGTGACTTTGAACATGGCATGGTTGTTGGTGCCAAACAGGCTGGTCTGAGTATTTCAAAAACTGCCGATCTACAGACATTTTCTCGTACAACCATCGCTAGGGTTTACAGAGAATGGTCCAAAAAAGAGAAAATATCCAGTGAGCGGCAGTTGTGTGGACTCAAATGCCTTGTTGATGTCAGAGGAGAATGGGCAGACTGGTTTGAGATGATAGAAAGGCAACAGTAACTCAAATAACTACATGTTATAACCAAGGTATACAGAATACTATCTCTGAATGCGCAAAATGTCGAACCTTGAAGCAGATGGCTACAGGAGCAGAAAACCACATCGGGTTCCACTCCTGTCAGCTAAGAACAGGAAACGCAGGCTACAATTTGCACAGGCTCACCAAAATTGGACAATAGAAGATCTAAAAAACATTGCTTGGTCTGATGAGTCTCGATTTCAGCTGCAAAATTTAGATGGTAGGGTCAGAATGTGGCGTAAACCACATGAAAACATGGATCCATCCTGCCTTGTATCAACAGTTTAGGCTGGTGGTGGTGATTGTGTATTGTGTGGGGGACATTTTCTCAGCACACTTTGGGCCCCTTAGTACCAATTGAGCATCGTTTAAACGCCACGGCCTACCTGAGTATTATTGCTGACCATGTCCATCCCTTTATGACTACAGTGTACCCATCTTCTGATGGCTGCTTCCGGCAGGATAATGCACCATGTCACAAAGCTCAAATCATCTCAAACTGGTTTCTTTAACATGACAATGAGTTCACTGTTCTCCAATGGCTTCCACAGTCACCAGATCTCTAATAGAGCACCTTTGGGATGTGGTGGAATGAGAGATTTCCATCATGGATATGCAGCTGACAAATATGCAGCAACTGTGTGATGCTGTCATGTCAATATGGACCAATATCTCTGAGGTATGTTTCTAACACCTTGTTGAATCTATGCCACAAAGAATTAAGGCAGGTCTGAAGGTAAAAGGGTGTCCAACCCGTACTAGCAAGGTGTACCTAATAAAGTGTCCGGTGAGTGTATATAGAAATACATAAATTGAGCAAGATTAGCTAGAAATTAAGGCAGAATTAAATTGGCCAGACACATTACAATCTGAGTGCATGATCTACTTTAGAATTAGGCTGAACCTCAGACAAAACTGCTAAATACACAGCTGATTTACATATATGTGTACACATCATATCTGCCAAAGGATTATTACAGCTCTGCCAGAAGGATAACACCACTTTTTCTGCTAGAGTGAAAGAATAAAGTGGTGTCATTTATCGGCTCATAATCTACTGATTGGACAGGGAAGGAGCAGAAATGCATTGATAAGCCATCATATAGTATGAAGGTCCACCTGACTGGATAAATTTGAACGCCTTGGTTATGTAAGCCTTTATTTACATGTTTTTTAGCAAATCTAAAGGAGATTGCACAGGACTTATTGTACCATGTGTGGCCAATTTTAAAGGTACGGTGATTCATGACTTTCACAGAGTAAGTGAAGATCCCTCATTTATGTAATAGCAAATGTGACAAAGGGGGGAAAATTGTAAGCAGTCAGTTGCTTACCGTATTATTATTGCCAACAAGCGAGATGCACACTGGAGAGGCGATTTACAGCCAATGTGTGATGTGAAATTCCACAGTATTCAGCCAGCTAGTTATGAAAGGGAGCTGAATAAAATTTAAATAATACAAATCTTTGGCATTTTCCTTGCTAGAAAAATTGGATCAGGTTTTATAGCTGAACTTCAAGATGGAAAAACACCAATGAATGTCCTTTTTTGTATTTATTAAAGAAAACAAATATAAATAGAATACTGAAAAAGATTCCTTGTATTATAGGGATGTATGGGCTTCCCCGACCCTGGTACTTCCCATTCCAGAGGTCTTACTGGCTTGGGAGTGGGCGAATAGAAACCTGGGAGTGGTCATGCCCTTGGTCCCGGCCTACTCGTCTTAGCATCATGGAAGAAGACCAAGCCTGTGCTATGGAGAGTCGCCGTCATGGTAAGAGAGCAGTTATCTTCCATTATACTGATATTAAAAGAAAAACCATAAATTAAAGCATCAAATGGTATTCAGTTATGATGTCTTTTAGTGCAAGAGTTTAACTTTTACATAATTACATTCATGTTTCTGTTCTGTAAAGTCCGTTGATTTAGGAAATCATGTTTGCTTTAAATAGAGAAAACCTTTCTACTCATTCATTGAGTGCCTAACGAATTCGTAGACAGTCGGGTTATACTGCCACCTACTGTACCCCCAGCATCCCTCAGTTTTTTTGCCGGTGTCCAGGGAGGATGGACGCTTCTTCTGTGCTCAGCAGAGAAAAATCAAACCATGTTTTATGGTTTTATTTTCTTCAAACAAGTTTCTTCAGTCAAGATTCCTGGTTTAGTGCTGCTTGAAGTGGTCTTTATATGCAGCTAAATAAATTAGTGTTTTCTCAGCACTAGTTTTGGAGGCTGTACCCAGACCCTCCTGGACTGGAATATTGTGGGTCTAACTTGGAATGTGACCTTCAGGCACTGGGTTTTGTATTATGGCACTTCCAGATCTGAGTGTTAGCCAAAGAGCACTCTCCAGGTCCAGAGCCGTGACACGAGTTATAACCTTGCCTTTGAAGACACATTCTGTGAGTAGAGCCTGTTACTAGGACCCTTTTGGCGTAATTTAATTTCCCTGCTTTCTGTTGCTATATCATGGAAGAGGTTAATACTGAGGGATTGAGCAACGGACATCAGAGTGCTGGGTAGAGGGTCACTCACATGCATGTGCTCCATATTCTGTTTCCATCAATGAATTGCTTAGGAAGCACCATTCTGCTACTGACTACAAATGATTTGTGAATCTATCCTTGGTTAATCTCTGCTGCCTTCTCACAGTGTCCGTTCACCTTTGTCTGTCTGACCTCTTCTGGTACCAGTAGCTAAGTTTGTGAGTATTCAAGGCTTGACCTTGTACCCTGAGCTTTGTTGCCCCTGCATTACAGGGACATATGCTGGATCCTGGACACATGGGGAACTATTACGAGGGAATCCATTTTACAGTCCACTAACAGTTCTCATGTTCTCTTTGGACCGCCCAAAGAGCCTGACACTGACAGCTTGGATGTTTGCCCTCTGCTTAAGTTTACACCATTCTCAGAGTCTTCTTTAGCTCTGTCAGGCATGGGCCTCCTTCTTGGCTCTATCCCAGGTAGATTTCACCACAATCAAGCAGTATTTTATTGGCCAAAGAACAACATTGATTGCTTGTGACCTCTGCAATCAGAAGCAGCAATCTTCCACGCCTTTCCCTGCAGAATCCTTATCTGTTCTGCTCACATGAATAGCAGCCTCTGAGTCTTCAGCCTCAAACTTTGTCTGTCATTGAGTCTTTTAAGTTCTTAAGAGAGGCCATAACAATTGAGGAGTCACAGGCATCTGCTATTACTCCCAGGATATTACTGATGTGATACACACGACATTGAATCTCGAGCATCACCCTGTAGCATCAGTAATGTCTCTAGTCTAGGCTTCTTTATGGTCTCCAAGACCGCTAAATCCTTTCTGATACACCCACTTTTTGTATTAGTTTTTATGGAGAATGTGCCTGTGTTTTAAGGACCCCACTGACAAGTGCTTGGAGGGCCTTTCAAAAACCTTCATCTCTCTGGCAGATTTGCATTTCTTTTTGCCCTGACAGTGGCCATATTCTGCCAAATACTAGCCAATTGGGCTAAGACTATCAGTAGTGATCTGGGTCCCATGCAGCTTGATCCTATAATTGTAGAGCATTTAAAGATCACGCACCCAGCTTTAAAATACTGCATGAACAGGTTGTTTTTTTCACTCTTCGACCTCAACATTCAAAGCCATGTCCTGGTTGGTTGGCTCTGCCTGCAACCCCTGGACTTTCAAGTCCTCCAAACCCTCAGATAAATCTTCCCGTTTGTCCAGTTTTACCCCAGCATCCTATAACACAACAGCAAAAGATCAAAAGAAAGAGGGCACACCAGCCTAGTGCATTATGCTTGGGGGTTTATTGATAGTGTGAAAAGCTAAAAACATACCCACAAGCATATATGATATCAGGCATGTAAAGCCACCATGATTAAGCACGAGATCGTGTGAAATGCGTTAACAGGTCCTGTATTCATGTCCTGGTGTTTTGTGTGTCCTGTGGATCAGTGAATGTACACTGTATTCATCTATCCTCCGGTGTGCGGCTGACCCTTCTTCCTGTTGCATCGTGTGTGGTGGCGAGCCAAGGCCTGCACCTGTTGTGGATTGATCTGGATTGTTTGCCTGAGCGGTATGCCTTTTGTTCTTTGGATGTAAAGCCACCACCTCGTGGCACAGTGAATATAAAGACCCAACAGAAACCAACGCCAGGAAAGTGCCGTCCTGGATCCAAAAATGGGTTAGGTCTTTCAAGGGAACTGGGAACTCCCTCTTCATCAGAGCCTGATGAATCAGGCTCTGATGAAGAGGAAGTTTCCTTGAAAGGTTTAAGCCATTTGTGGATCCTGGACGAAGCTTTCCTGGCGTTGTTTTCTGTTGGGTCTTTACATTCACTTTGGGTACATGGGGATATCTCTCTTTTGACCCTAGTCTATCTCACCTATGTGCAGGAGGATTTGTTCTAATTTTTCCTATAACACAACATCCTGTCCATGTAGGACAAGTTGGGCCACCCCTGGTCACATCTGACACTGAGAACCATGTTGTCTCTGGTCTGGTGTCTCAAGAATCCTGCTGTACATGAATCATCATTGAGAAGCCAAGTCTTGTCATGGCAATAGAGGTAGAAAGGAGAGGCTTGAGTAACACTTTACATTACAGCCTTGTCTTCCATTTACATCCCAGTCACAGACAATTGGCAGGCAGAGTACCTCAACCAGCAGCACCTGAATCTGGGGCAATGGTCCCTATACCAACCTGATCAGAATCTTAGTAGAAACTCAGTGGGCTCTTCCAAATTGTCCTGATCATTTGTCCCAAGGACCAGTTTACCCCTTGCTTAACAGTCGCCAGCTTTATTGCCATGGCTGTTGAAGACAAGGTTCTAAGGAACAGCGACATCTGTAAATCATTGATTATCCCCATCATTCTTCTGTCCCTCTCTCCAGCTTCAGTTAATCAGAAGGAAATCTCTCTCCATTGTCTGGAGGAAGTTCTTATAGTACGTGTCTATCTTGCAGCTACTGTTTCCATTCGAAAAACTGACTTGTTCTTTATCATTCCCGATGGTTCCTGTAAAGCAGAACCTGTCTCTCATTCCACCATTTCTCGTGGGGCTCACACGGATTATCCTTCAGTTGTAGGGTCTCAAGAATTGAGTTTTACCTCTTTTGGAACACTTTTCAATATTGGTGGGCGCCTTTTGGACTTTTTGGCATCAGGCTACTGATTACTAGATTTGCAAGGCTGCCACCTGATCTTCACATATTCTGTATTTTACCAGATGGATGTTCAGATTTCATCTGATGCCAATTTTGGCAGTAAGGTTCTTCAGGTGGCATTTTTGAGCTGTAGGTAGTCCCCAGTTCTTTTGGGTTTTTTTGTGAGCCTGTTGTTTTGTTGTTTGTTCCCACCCCTCAGTTAGACTGATTAATTGAATGAATGAATAAATGAATAAGAAAATGAGATTTTTATACTTGCCATAAAATCTATTTCTTGGAGTTCATTGAATGGCACAGGTCCCACTCTTTTAAGTCTGTTTATGCTCTTGGTACTTTTTTTCCCACAAATTTAAGGCATGCTGGGAGAAGAGGGGTATACTGAGCTGGATAAAAATATTTTTATTTGCGAATATCAAAACCTACCTGTAAGCAGTAGCATAACATTACAGCCTCTGTATTTCTGTGTCCCTCAATGCAGCACGTACCTCAAGAAATGGATTTTACAATAAGTACAAAAATACCATTTTCTTGTTTCATAATACCATGGATTACCATTCTGCACAAAGTAGATGCATGAGTGGCTTCCTCCTGTATTCTCAAAACTTTCCAAAAGGTTACTTGGCAGAGAGAGACTTGTAGTAGGCACTATTAGCTTAGAGAATAATGAGAGTGTCATTACTGACCTCATTATGAAAATACTAGTGGCTTGGCTGTTATGCTGATCATCTGGCTCCAGTGTTTAGTCATTGACCTCTGAAACTGCATGCCAGTTAAGAAAGCCAGAAACAATTTTTGATGTGCAAATTGTTTCAGTGATTTGGAGTACTGATTGTCTTAGGTCAGCATGGCAGCCAGGCATCTAGCATTTTCAAAAAAGGTAAAATCAGCAGCCTCTATGTTTTCTTAGGATAGGTTTCCTTTACCTTCATAGTTCAAATGAGAGCTAATTATATACTATTTTCCACCTGTAGAGGAGACCCGGGGCATTGAAGAAGAGCCCAGTCATTTGCCTTTGGTTGTATGTATTGACAAGCTTACTAAAATATACAAGACTGGAAAAAAACTGGCACTAAATAAACTGAGCTTGAATCTGCACGAGAACCAAGTAGTATCTTTCTTAGGCCATAACGGAGCAGGAAAAACTACCACCATGTAAGTCAGACATATGTTTTCTCTATGGCCTAGCAAGGGCTAAGAAAGAATGGATATTGTAACCTTGTTCCCCTTACAGGTCTATCCTAACTGGCCTCTTTCCCCCAACCTCGGGATCAGCCACCATTTATGGACATGACATTCGTACAGAGATGAATGAGATCAGGAAGAGTTTAGGAATGTGTCCGCAGCACAATGTGCTGTTTGACAAGTTGACAGTTGAAGAACACCTATGGTTCTACTCCAGGCTGAAAGGGATGGCAGAGGAGGCAATACGCAAGGAGATGGACAAGTATGTATTACCTGATCCATCTGCAGGTGACTGATTTGCTGTGTAAATATGTCATGTATGTACAATAGCCTGTTTCACAACAGCCTAATGCATGCAGTGCTTTATTTGCTTGTAATATCTCCTAAATCATCTAATTTATTCATTTTTTTAATCAATTCATTAACACATTATTGCAAATATTGCCTGAAATTACTGCATATTTGCTTAAAACTGAACTCCAGCTAAATAAGTTTACACCATTGAAATGCATATATAAAAGCTATTTTTCCCATCCAAGAATTTGTATTTTTCTTCACCTAGTCTTGAGATTTACACAGTCCTCATGCACAGCCTAATGACCTGACTTTATTATACTGCAGCTAAGGAACACAGCCTGGTCACCTTCACATCATTGGATAGTGAAAGCGTAGCAACAGATAGATGAGGTCATCTTTCTAGACAAAAAGGGAGAACCTCCATAGATCCCAACATCCCTATAACTGAGAATCTCTATACTTTGAATTCCCCAATACAGTGGGACTTTACAGGCAAAAAGCAGGAATTTAAAAAATGTATCATGGCCTTTATTACAACATCATCATAAAATATCTTATGTTTTGACCAACGTTAAATCCCAAAAAAAACATATTAAAATCACAGAATTGTTACATATTTCCAGCAATTTACATAGAATACCCAATGCCTTTTGGAGACTTATAACTCTGTAGACGATGCAAAATGGATCTGAAATAACATACACACCATTAGAATATAGGGACACGTGCATTGCATATTCAATATTTAAATTTGAGATCATGTAGTACTTACATACAAAAAAATCAATTATTTATAATCTGTTGAACAAAGACATTCTCCTGGTTGCCTCACCAAATACCAAAGTTTCAAAAAGGTCTCTTCTTATCACATTGCGACCCTAACAAGGTGGACACTGAGATCACCTAGGTGTCAGGAAAAATCAAAGAAGCATGTTTTAACGAAATGCGGTATTCCAAAAAAAAAGAAACACGCATCGATGGTACGTGAAGTATCAAAACTGAGCCACCTACTCAAAAAGATGACGGGGATGAATGCCAGCCGATGTGCAGTCCCCAACTTAAAAGTAGTACTCATCCAAAGGGTGATCATCCCAGATTAGGTTTTGACCAGAGTGGAATTATAGCCAACAGAGATCTATAACAGATCAATGAATATGCCAAGAACATGGGTAAAAAAAAGTAAAAAAAAATATATATATATATATATATATAGTGTCAACAGGTCTCCTATGAGAGATATAAGAAAAAAGAGGCTGCCTTCTTACCTGTGTTGGCTGTACTATTAGGTGAACAAGCATGTAGCACGGCTTGTGGAAAATGCACAAACTAATTGTGTGAAAGCTCATATATATATAATGGTGTTGATTGACAAATTTACAACACCTGGTGTCCCCCAGGTGTTCCTAATACAACAAGCACTGAGAGGGATAATCCCTCGCTCTCTCTGCCCCTCCTGAACCCCAATTCAAGATCTCCCAGGCAGCCGACACGTGGCGCCTCCACGGCGCATAGTGATGTAAAGCGTAAACAAGCTCCACCCCCTGTGCATGACTGCGTCACGTGCCAAAAGCCCGCCAGCACGCACCAGGAGGGGGCCGGACAGAGAAGAGGCCGCTAGGCAATGCCAAACATCGCACTGGACATCTCCCACAGCCCATCCAACCCCAAAGAAGCCACTGCCTGCATACAAAATGCCATGGGAGATGTCCAGTGCGATGTTTGGCGTTGCCTAATGGCCTCTTCTCTGACCAGAGATGATTAGAAGTTTTTCAATGGATGGTAAACTCTGTTGGGTAGTTTCTCCACAAATACAGGGCATTGTTTGAATGACTGCTGAAGGCTCAACTTTTACTAACATTGTAAATGGATATATCTTATATTATTTTAGGATGATTGAGGACTTAGAATTATCCAACAAACGTCACTCCTTAGTTCAGACACTTTCCGGAGGAATGAAGAGAAAACTGTCTGTTGCCATTGCTTTCGTTGGAGGATCAAAAGCTGTCATTTTGGATGAGCCAACTGCTGGTGTTGATCCATATGCGAGAAGGGCAATCTGGGATCTTATTCTGAAATATAAACAAGGTAGCTATCAAATACCCACTCTTATATTTTGTATTGTCCATTAAATTATAACTTACAGTAAGATATCTTGTAATCCACAGGCCACACAATTCTTCTTTCAACACATCACATGGATGAGGCTGACTTGCTAGGTGACCGTATCGCCATTATTTCCCATGGAAAGCTAAAATGCTGTGGATCACCACTGTTTCTAAAAAGCACCTATGGAGATGGCTACAAATTGACTGTAGTCAAAAAGCAAAGCAGCCCAGTCAGTAACAAGTGCTTCATGGGCTGGGAGTATATTTGTAAAAGAAGACCTGCAGGATTAAAGCCAAATTCCAGATATAGATTTTTTTTTTTTACATAATTACATTGGTTCAGCATACCTGACCGATACCTCTAGAAGCTGGCAATTACTGTATAGGCACCGCTACTTCAGTGATCTCAACATCTTCTGGGTCCCAATACGGAGCGGCTGCACTGCACATGGGTGCCATTTCAGACAACTCTTTGTGTTTTCCTCAATGGATGCCAAGCATTCTCTGAAGGGTCAAGGTGGAGATCATGTCACAGCTTCACCTCTCCACCCTCCTTCCAATCAAAACACTTTGTATTCCATTAGAAAGACAAAAAGTGTTCTCTGAATAGCACCCGTTCCAAGTGCCCAAGTCCCTGTGTTCATTGTGCAACTGCTCAGCATTGAAGTCCAGAAGATAGTTGAGAGTACAGTAATAGTGGGCCTACTACACGGACTTCCAGCTTCTAGGGGCAAGGGACAGGTATGGTATGTGCATAGGTAGATTGGTCCAAGTTGGACCAATATAACTAGAGATGAGCGAATCTAACTTGGCGAAGTGGAATTCGTTTTCGAATATTAGGAAAAATTCGATTCGCGCCGAATCCGAAATTTAGCAAACTTCGGATGCACGAATTTAATTTTCCCCAACCCCCGGCATCGGCCCGATTTTTCATCCCTTCTACAGCCGGCAAAAAGTGTCCCTGCAGAGAGCTCCGCTATTTTTTCTGACAGTTCTCTGACAGTTCCCTTCAAATTTACAGCGGTTGAAACATTGTATCTATTTGTTTCCATTTAGGATACAGATGTTTTAATATTCGGAAACAAATAGATACAATGTTTTCAACCGCTGTAAATGTGAAGGAACTGTCAGAAAACTGTCAGAAAATAGCGGAGCTCTCTGCAGATACACTTTTTGCTGGAATGGAATTCTTCTTATTTTCATCCTACTTCATTCTTCTCTTAATTTCTTCTTCTTCATCCTCAATCACCTCTTCTTCTTCATTCTTCTTCTTCTACTTCATCCTCTCATCCTCATCCTACCTTCTTCTATCCTCAATTACCTCTTCTTCTTCATCATCCTCATCCTCATTCCACTTCATTGTCATCTCTTCTCCTCATCCTCTTCTTCTCCTTCATCCCCCCCCCCCCTTCCTCCACCCCATCCCCCCCAATTCTTCCTCTTCTCATCCTCTCTTCTTCTCACCCACTTCTTCAACCTTCTCCCCTTCTTCTATCCCATCATCCTCATCCCTTCTTCCTCATCATTCTTCTTCCTCCCCTTCCCTCATCCTTACACTTCCATTCTCTCTTCAACCTCACCTTCTTCTCTTCACCCCATCCCCTCTTCTTTACATTCTCTTCCCTTCATCTCATTCCATCCCCTCTTCATCCCCCACCTCTCTTAACCCTCACCCCTTTCTTCCTCCTCCACCCCCCCTCCATACCCCCCTCCCCCCCTCCTCCCTCCTTCCCCCCCTCATCCCTATTTTCATCCTTCCCCTTCCACCCCTCCCTCTTACCCTTCCTACACCCTCCACCCCCTCATCCCTTCTTCATCCCTCATCCCCCAACACTCATGTCCCCCCTTCTCTTCCATTCCCCCCCTTCTTCTTCCCCCCCCTTTCTTTGTCTTCCTTCCCCTCTCATCCCCCATCCTCACCCCATCCCTCCCATCCTCCCTCATCCCCATCCCTCATCCCTCATCCCTCCTCCCCCCTTCTTCATCCATCCTCATCCCTTCCCTTTTCCCCCCTTCTTCTCATCCCTTCCCCATTCATCTTCTTCCTCATACCCCCCCCCCATTTCCCCCAATCCCACCTTCTTCATCCCCCCATCATTCCCCCCTCTTCCCCTTCCACTCCCCCATCTTCCCCCTTCAGTCATCCTCATCCCCCCCCCTCCCCCCTCATCCTCACCTCACCCTCTTCCCTCCACCCTCACCTCCCCTCTCACCACTCCCATCCTCCACCTCCCATCATCTTCCCTTCTATTCCCCCTTCTCTTCCCTCCCTTCTTCTCCCCCCCACCCTTCACCTTCTTCCCCCCCTCTCTTTCCCACTCCCTCTTCTCACCCCCCCACCCACTCATTGTGACCCCCCCCCTTCCTCCTCACCTCCCCCCCCCAGACCCATCCAATCCCTCCATCCTCATCCCGCCTCCCTCTGTCCTTCGTGGTGTGATCAATCCTCACGACCCTAGTCCTTCCCATCCTCTTCCTCCCCTCCTCCACCTCCCCCCACTTCCCCATCTTTGGTCTTCTTCGTCTACTCAATCATCCTCTTCCTTCTTCCTCATTCCCTCATTTTATTCTTCTTCCTCATTCTTCATCCTCATCCTCTGTTCATCCTCATCCTCTTATTGTTCATCCATCTCTTCCATCTTATTCTTCTTTCTTCATCCTCATCTTCATCCTCTCGTCTCTCTTCTTCTTCATCCTCATCTTCTTCTTTCATTCATCCTTCATCCTCTTCTTCCTGGCAATTCTTTCTTCTTCTTCTTCATCCTCTTCTTCTTTTTCTTCTTCTTCCCTTATTCTTCTTCTTCATCCTCATCCTCCATCTTTCTTCTTCTTCATCCTCATCATCTCCATCCTCTCTTCTAGGAAGATTCTTCTTCATCCTGATTTCTTCTTCTTCTTCACTAATCCTCTTCTTCTTATTCTTCTTCATCCTCATCCTCTTCTTCTTCAATTGAAGCTGCTTCTGCTCCGCCACTCTGCCATTGGACTCTTGATAGTCGTCTCCCCACACTGCTGCTGGGGGGACTTTTTAACATAGGCCTCTGTATGGCCTTCATTTTAAGCTGCTTACGCTTCGCCACTCTGCCATGGGCCCCTGTACCGCCTCCTCATGCTGCTGCCAGGTCCAGAGTGTGTCATTGGGTCCCTGTACGGCCATCCCATTGCTGCTGTCTCCATCGCACACTCTGCCATGTGCCACTTTTTACAGGTCTCCTCACACACTGCTGGTGTGTTCAATTTTTATGACATAGGGTGCTGGCAGATTACGGGCCTCCTATAGCTGCTGCCAGGCCCCTAATCTGCCATAGGCCCACTATATACCGCCTCCCATGCTGCTGCCAAGTCCAGAGTCTGTCATGGGTCCCTGTACGGCCTCCCATTGCTGCTGTCTCCATCGCCACACTCTGCCATGTGCACTTTCAGGTCTCCTCACACTGCTGGTGGGTTCCATTTTGTCATAGGGGTGCTGGCAGATTACGGGCCTCCCATTGCTGCTGCCAGGCCCGTAATCTGCCATGGGCCCCTGTACCGCCTCCTCATGCTGCTGCCAGGTCCTAGAGTGTCTCATGGGTCCCTGTACGGCCCTCCATTGCTGCTGTCTCCATCGCCACACTCTGCCATGTGCCACTTTCAGGTCTCCTCACACTGCTGGGGGTTCCATTTTGTCATAGGGTGCTGTATGGCCTTCCCATTGCTGCTGCCTCCACCGCCACACTGTGGCTCCACACTCGGTTTTGGCCCCCGTGACTGCCCAAATGAGTGAAGTGTGCAGTGATTCTAAGATCGACAGCAACTCATCTGCATGTCATACTGACTGACAGTATTATTTTCTCTTCCCAGCAGACTCCAAGGGCATTTAAATTAAAGGTACAGTGTTCTGCACTAATATTAAGGCTCTCTGAAGCCTAGAAACCCTTTTAATAAGTTAAATTCGCAGCGAATAAATTTGCAGCGAATCGAATTTATTCCGCAAATTCGGCGAATCAGCCGAATCGAATTTTTGAATAATTCACTCATCTCTAAAATATAACTATGTAAACCTATCCATACCCCTGGAATTCATATTTATACATTTAAAGTTTAAGTCCAGTTTTCTAATATGGATAGTATGATGAGCAAGGTTTAAAAGAAGGTGCAAGCCTGGTGCGTCAGAGTAATCACACAGAGTCTTGTGGCAGGGATGATAACTTGTATTAAAAGAGAGGCTCAACTCATCAGACACCCTAGTGGGAGAGTCAGCACCAGGCAAACACTCACAGTTCTATGTAATGCAGAGATGCAGCAGGTAAATGTGCACCAGCATCATCTGTCTTCAGAGGGAGGAATGTGGCCTGGTCTGGTCCCAATGGGGAGGCTCTCCTAAGGAGGATGGCATGTCCCTACTCATCAGGAACCTTTCCCTGCCACTAATCAGTTTCACTAACTCACTGGGTGCTCTTTCCCTCTTCTATCCACCTTGCAAAATGTGCCAAAACCCGTGGGCAGAGACGTTAAAAGACTCTGCTGACCCAAGATGGCTGGCAGGGGTCACTTGAATGCAGAGTAGCCAACTGGAACATTGCCTCAAGGAAGCAGGAAACCATAGAGAAACTAGGTTACTTCTGACTTCTTCAGTTGCAGTACTGCTCCAGTCAAGCACTACCTACAGTGGAGAAAGCAGACTACACCTACCTGCATGTCAAGTGTTAGTGCTGCGGATGTTCCTGTTGGGGAGATTTCCAGCCACTTCTGGTCCTAGTGAGCACATTTCCTGCAGCAGGAAGTGAGTGAAAGTATCCCCAGCAGAAATGCAAACCACAAACAAAATGTTCCCAGTTCTGTCCCTTCCCTCTGCTGCTGATATGTGCTTTTTATAGCTATCTGTGTCTCTGTTAAGTACTACCCAAAGCTTGTACAAATGTTCCTCTGGCCTGCTAAAATTGTTTAGTAAATACTAGAACTGTACAAAGCTCAGAAATAGCCTGGATATATAAAAGCTGAAAAAAATGAAACACTATACATTAGATTTAATAGGACCTAAAACATAAATAGGTTGCTCCAAATGAGTGCAAAGAGATATACTGTCTCCATCAGAACACTTTTGTCAGAATGGTTGAAAGTAACAAGTAATGTTGATGTGTACCTACCCACATGGAAAAAAATATATTTTAAAAATATTCTTCCCAAATATATTGACATATATATATGCAATGCTACAATTGTGGCAATTTTATATATATATATATATATAT